GGCAATAGCATTTTTTAAATCATCATTTGTAAAATAAGTCGAAGACGAAAATATTTTATCCAAATAAGTTTGTTTAGAGTTAGATGAATATTGGGTAGGTTGTTCAAAAGCAGTAGTATCCAAAGAGCAATCTTTCCATTCACCATTTCTGATATTCACAGACTTAATACAAGCAGTATCTTTTCCTGTTCTCCATATGCACCAAATTTCATTGCCATACAATGACATATCAACTAATCTACTATTGATGGGTGACCGTACATAAAACTTTTGTTGAAGTTTAAACATACCATGATCAGTGCATGGTTCAAGCACTACAAATGTTGAACTTTCTGATAAACTGAGGTAAATAGTAAGTAAAAGTTGATCATCAAAACTTTTGTGAATAATATGTGGTCTTGAACCATTTTCTGTTGAAGCCGCATATATTTTTTTCATATCCATAATATAAATATACACAGATTTATCGATTGACCAAACTTTTAATTCGCATGTATCATCAAGAGAGTATACATATATATCTTGTTGAAATGGGTGTACAGCTAAACTGTTGATAACTGGGTTCTCAATATGTGTAGAAAAAACTTTGGTTATATTTGAAAGCATTCGAGGGACAGCAGATTCTTGACAAATTTCTTTTAAGGTGGGTAGTCCAGAAATATACTCCATACGTATGTAAAGCATGACATTATTTTGTAGAGCTATTATAAATATAGCATCATGTTTTTGATCTAAACAAGAAGCAGCTGAATATGGATGGCTAAGTTCTGCATTATAAGAATAGAATGTTGCTGGATCATCAATAGATGGTACATTAAAATTTGAAAAAATTGACGAATCTGTTAATACATTTTCATTTTCACTATCGTTTTCCAGACGATTTGGTCGTGGAAATGTCAATCGGTGACAACTACATGCAGTTGGAACTAATAAAACAACAGATTCCAATGTCTCATACACAGAAATTCCACTTTCCAATACAGGAGAATCACGAAAATGTATACGCATTTGGTTTTCTGTAAGATTCATGTCTAAACTATGTTCAACCAATTCAAGTTTATCATATAAAACACGCCAAAATATAAAACGGTTAGGAATATCTTTGAAACAGTGTCCACCTGATCGAGGTAGTGTACTTTCATCTCGTAGAGTAGTTGAAGCACCTTCAGGATTAATCAAAATTTCCCTCCATTCATTTGATTGAAAATGTTCAGTAACTACTTGTCTGTAGATAGTATTTAAATATGGATTATCAATGTCCATATTGTCTAAACAAAATAATACAATACAAAATTAATTGTCAAATAAAAACTAAAAAGTAATAAATGGCAATTACACACTAAACCTATTTGATTTTTGATTATAATTTTTAAGGAAAAAAATTAATTAAAATAACCACGATTTACAAATACATGCATGAAATGTATCCTTTAAAAAAAATTAAAAACTAGTAAAAATTATTACTAAGAGATATCTAGCATATACATATAATGGGGTATATAAATAGAAAATTGTATGTACTGATTAATCTATTTAACCAGGCATTAAGCTCTATTAAACTCGATATGATAATAAATAGACATATTATCAAATTTAAAAGTAAGAATATCATTATATAATGAATCTCATGATTTTTTTTATTTATATTTTAATTTTTAAGTAAGTAAAATATATTTATAAATTTTAAGTTATTTGTACATTTTAAGATACAAACTTATACTACTTCAATTAAATTAATTTTAAAATATTGTATTTTATATGTATGTTTAATATCTGATCATTATATTTGAGAAAACCATTTTTTTTTATTATTATTTATTGTATTTATTGGGGTTATAAATAAATAAATAATTATATTAGATAGTTTCATACAAAAATAATAAGCTGTCCTATATTATATATTGTATACATGATGTATTTAAGATCATTAATAATTTAAAAAACAAAATTTTTAAGTGATAATATTTGAAAAAATATAAATATATACTTGAATACTTAAAATAATTAGTATTTAATCAACATAATTTTAACTAATTACATGCCCCAAAAATAATAAATGAGTCTAAATGTATATTAATCTAAATCTTATTTGTACATATAATCTTACACTGAAAATTATGTTTATTCAAAATTTTCTCAAACATTGGTGTTAATGATCAATCATTTTGTAATGACTTTAAATCATAGATATTATTTAAAAATATAGAATAATAAAACTAAGATGTATATTACAAACCAATCATTAGATCAACAAAAAACAACAAAGCCCAGATTGAAAAAATGTACATTTATAATTAAAGATTTCTGTATTGTGAACCAATATAAAAACTCTAAGTCCGGGTTGTTAAGAGAATTATAATATTGTAAGCAACTCACCGTTTATAAGCACACGCTTAAGTCAGTTTAACAGAATGATAGTCGAAGTCGATTAAATAATTTGAAACTTAAATACACGTTTAGGCATTCGTTAAAAGGTACAATACAGTTAAGCCGTTAAGCGATAAACTAAACAGTACTACAGTAGACGTTACTACGTTAGTAAGTCGTTTGATTATGTTTCGTTGGTGTTGTGTTGCGGTAACCACAACTTTACTCACGCGGAGGGAATTTAATTGTTAACGCTTATCACGTATTGATCACAAATACGTTAGCATAGGTATCATACATTTGTTCCAACGTCACTTTTGTCCATATTTTGATATTTTTTAGACAATATCAATTGCCTTATTGGTCCATAAAATATTTGTAATTTGTACAAATGGTTTTTTATAGATACCAAAAGAGCATTTGTTTCAAGAAGAGTAAAATAAAAAATAACCATTGGAGAAAATTTCTTGTGAAAAATTGTTTACTGCAAAAAATATTTTTTGAATAAGTCATATGTTTTTATGGAAATAAGAAATAACGGTATTTGAATAATTTAAGTATTAACAATATTGTATAACGATTAATGTTATGCTTTTTAAAGTATTTTTTATTCGCTTAATATTATATATTTATATTAAAAATAACTTACTAGGACATTAGGTTCACTAGATGATAGTCTTACTTTTACTTTAAAAAATAATAGTTAAAATAGTTAAATACCTAGGAACTCTGTAATATTAAGCATAAATATTATTTCATTCTACAATAATGTAGTAATATACTGTTGTCTGTTATTGTTATCTACGCCAGTTGTAAGACTGTAAGAGTAATTATAAGCGGAACTACGAGTTAGGTCATGACCTGGTCTATTACCGAATTGTCGACAAGTTATCGGATTCAGAAATTATACAGATGAAGTATGTAATAAATAATAATATATTACGAATATTTAAAAAAAAACTAAAATATTGTTTTGTGGTTATTTTCCCGAAATAAAATGATGGAAAATTAAAAATAATGAAATAATTTTAATTCTTATTGCTGTTTAGGTTTTATAATAATAAATATTATGGGTTGTATAATATTAACTTTTTTTATTTGATATGAATGTTATTAAATTATAAAAAATAAAAACATTTAATTAAAATCAACAAATGAAAATTATTTTTAGCCACTTTTATTTTTATTTCTATTAAAATTTTTTGTTTATATTTATTTCAATAAAATGTATTACTAAGTTCGAGTGTGAAGAAATTTTTTCAATACGTTTTGGTGTTTTGACAAATATAAGTGTATATATATTTATAGAAATACCTAAGTAATAAGAAAAGCGTTGGTGGCCGATGTCTAAAGCCGTATTTTCATTGCGGTTACACGGTATCCGCATCACAAATAGGCTTAAGGCTCTAGCATTTATTAGTTATCGGTATATTTTCTTGGAATTTAATTAATACTTGAATATATCGTGGCAGTATGACTATAATATATAAAAATATTTCTAATATCTAAAATATCTTAGTACATTAAATATTAAAATACAAAACCTAGAATGTTAATTGTATAAGTAAAGGTAAGTTCTTTTAGAAAATTAAAAAATATATAGGTAAACTTGAATACTTAATATTTATTGGATAAATCCCCCCATAGGCTTGTATACACACAAATAATTATAGTCATCATATTATTTAAAAAATTAGTATTGTTATTTTTTTTTTTTTTCTGATCAACAATTAATTAAATTTGCAAGAATTAAAATATTATAATATATTGTACGTATAATATTCTCATTGGTATCCTCCCATGTCAAAAACCTAAATTCGCCACTGCAGTTATAGCTACAACCTGTAGTTCGGTAGCCCATGCAGTAGCTTATTTAGTTTAATTAGAATAATAATTGGATAATGTTATTACTAAACTAAACTAAAAATAATATTATTAGGTCGAGAAAATTGACTGTTTACAATATTTAACCCTTTTTTAAAATTTTTTATTGAACAAAAAAATTTCTTTTTGAAACACATAAAAGTAAATGATTTTCTAGTGATAATAAACGATTTCTGTATTTAGTTTTACGTATTGCCAACATGAAGGAGAATCCTTTTTAACATAAATAAGAAGTAGCGAATGGAATCAACATTTTCAATGCCTCTGTTACTGAACGTCTGTATTAATTTTTTACTTAATATAGGTGGTGGGGGGGGGGGGGTCGCGAAGTGATTAACCATATTTTTTACCTATTTTGGGGGTTGTGACACTAAAATGGTTGAGAAACTATGATCACCAGTCTGTAATAATATATTTTAATCTAATGGCTTAAATCGGCTGTTGAATAACAGTCGTTGGAACAAATATTTTTTGGCATAAATAAACATCAAGACAAACATTTCTATGAAGAAATGTACGTTTTGTATATTAATTAAATTTAAACATGTTGAATTTGGAACAAATATTTCGTAGAACAAAAGGTTAATTCGACACAGAATAGATAGAATTATATTTCATCTATTTTGTGATCTACTTGTAGGTACTTTCTAATTTAGAATTGTAATAATTGATTCCTATTTGATTTAGGTATAATTTTTTTTATCAATATTAATATCTTATCATTTTTGTATGTTTGATAGTGATATTGATTGTCGGCCCAAGAATGGTGTTTTCTATTTTTCTGTAAAAGTGTAAACTGGCCTTACCCCTTCGGATAATATTTTAAATTTGAATATCATTGGTTTTATGTTTGAATTCAATTAAAATTTTATTATTAAATAGTGTTTGTATAGTTAATGCGTGAAAAGACAATTCGATTATACAACAATTATTAATAACAGAAAATGAAGATGGCTGAATCTGTAAAAAAATTATTAAAACGAAACAAACCAGGAACTAAAGCTAGTGTAAGTTTTATATTATTCTTTAAATTTGTGTGACTTACATTTGAATATTGTTTTGTAGTTCTTCCGTAAATGGCCCGATGAGCCGTTTGAAGAGATGGAAAGTACATTAGCTGTTCAAGAGTTTATTCAGCAACAAATACGTATAGATCCGAGCAATATTGATGTCATATTGACACCACCAGATTCTCAAGAAGAAGGAGTTTGGAAATATGAACATTTAAGGTGACAAATAATTACTTCTGTTTTAATTAACATTATTAATGCTGAATGATTGTATTTGTAGGCAGTTTTGTATGGAATTAAATGGGTTAGCGGTTGAATTACAAGCTGAATGTTTACCCGATACATGCAGTCAAATGACATCAACTGAACAGTGGATATTTTTATGTGCTGCACATAAAACTCCTAAGGAATGTCCAGCTATTGATTATACCCGCCATACTTTAGATGGAGCTGCTTGTTTATTAAACAGTAACAAATATTTCCCTAGCAGGTACATCTTATACATAATATGTTATTATGAATTTTATAAAACAGTAGTTTTTTTAATTGGCCATTCACAAAACATGTATCTTATTCAAAATTACAAATTATGCTCTATTATCACCTGTTAATTAAACCACAAGATTTGCTAATAATGTTCAAGTTGATTTTTTTTTTTTGTTTTTTACTTTATATTTAGAGTATTTTTATAACTATGAGAGATAATAGTATTTATTCAGCAAGTGTTATTTTATTATCGGATTTTCTACATTTAAATTCATATTTTGTTATACATAAGATATTATTGAGCTTTTGCCTGTTAAAAAAAAAGATATATATATATAAATAAATAAAATGTTTGTAGGCTCCTATATAATTTTTGTCTACACTAATGTAGTTCATCCAATTTTTAAACTTAAAGGATAAATTGTAGATCATGAAGTTTTCTTTTCTCTACTCCCTTTTTATTATTGATCAAGATTTATTACAAAGAAAAACATTTGTGATGACTGATGAAATTTCTAGCTTCTATGTTTTAAATGATTATTAATATTGAATATGCATTCTCGGAATAAATATGCCAGTTAATTCCTTAAAGTTTTTATTAATTTAATATTTTTATGTACAGGGTGTGGCATAAGTCGGTTCCCCAATTAACACAACAAATTAAATATGTATATTGTATATTGATTCTAATTATAATAATAAATTAATTATTAATAACAATAATAAGCAGTTTTGTGATAACAAAACAGCAGGAATCGACTTATGCCGCATTCTGTATTAAAAAGATGTTTGTTTTTTTTGCCTGGTCAGCAGTTTTCTTATAGTATTTCAGTGTTGCTAGTTAAAAAATAATAAAACAATACATATTAATTATTTCTCGAAACGAATAACCGAGTGGCATAATTTTTCCATAGTTAATAAGAGGAAACCAAAAGAAACACAACTAAATATTATATACTAAAATTTTATTATCAAGTATCAGCTTACATTAAAATATTTTACTTAAATATATGATAAAATACATTTTGCTACATATAAGTCATAAGATTTATACTTAAGTATACTGTTATAATATAAATAAAAGCTACCATTAATGGTTGTTTTTTTTACAATATTATATTTTATATAGTAGTACATAATTTCCACTTAATGTTTAAAACTAAAAACCAACAATTAATTAATTAATAAAATAAAATATTATATTTATGTTATACAATTTTAAAAAGATTATTTATTCTAGGGTTAATATTAAGGAATCATCGGTGGCGAAATTGGGATCTGTTTGTCGGCGAGTATATAGGATATTTTCCCACGCATACTACCATCATCAAAACATTTATAATAAATTTGAGGTAAAATATTCAAAATATAAAATTATTATTTCATTAAAAGTAGTTACAGATACAACATGTATCAATTTTTTAATAAATTAAAATTGTGTAAAATAATAAAATATTACAGAATGAAACGTATTTATGCCAGAGGTTTACAAAATTTGTGATAAAATACAACTTAATGGCAAAAGAAAACCTGATTGTGCCTATGCCTGATACAATTATGCAAGGTATACGAACTGAAGAAGATGGAACAACATCAATTAAAGAGCCATAATTTTACTCTCCTTCGTACCGCGGTAATCATTCTTTTCAAATGTTTTGCGAGGCACTGGTCTATTAACATGATCTGATATCTTGTCAGCTCCCTGGTATCTAAAATAAAAATACTTTAATTAATTAATTTTAGACATACAATAAAATTAAGAATTTAACTAGGAAACATAACAATATATTTTTTTTTTTATTAGGTCAGTTAGACAATTAACCAATAACTATTTATTATATTAGATTATTGTAAGCTTACCCAGGTAAATTAGGATGGAGATGGTTTTTAGATAACAGAATATGGATTGAAGGTAATCTTCTTGTTGTAATTGATTGAGAGACTTTACCATCAATCATCTCATCCTTAATCATTCTTACGCTATAAGTAAAATAAATATTACTATTTATAAAATGTCTCCCAATTTGAATTTTAAAACAATAATATGTATTTATTAATTTAATAATAAAGTGTAAATGTTTAGTACACTAATCAATTTAGTTTTTTTTTCATTTTAATACTTTGTAGTATTATAGTTTTTATTTTGTAATGGTGCCATACCACAATTTACAGTGAAAATTCAATTTATAATTATATTTATAAAACAATCACATTACTATGATTTTTAATTTGTATACATAGGAAACAATACTTATAAGTTATAAGAATAAACATGATTATTTATCTTGTACTGTTTATCTAAAATATTTGACTGAAATTGTTACTTACTTTCTATATCCAATACCAGTGACTTGTTTAAGCTCGGGCATCTGTCTTTTTAATATTTCTGCACATGTTACAGCCTTGTTAACTGATGGACCACTGGCACTACATACTAGATGATTAGAGTGTTCAAAACTTTTTACTGCAAAACCAAGCATGTTTCGGATTTTGGAATGGTTATTAATTTTTAAATGTTCAAAATTGTCTGGTAAATTGTCAATTGTAATTAAAGAACGTGTCCAACGTTCTTCTTGGTATACACATTTAGGTTTCAAAGTTTCCACTGTAAAATATAAATAGTTTAATTTAGATTTTAATAGAAATAAAACTATTGAACTACATAGTAACAGTAATTAAATATTATTAAGTTGAATAATATTGTAACAATTCTGAGGATATTTTTGATTTATAGTAAACATGGAACATAGCATGGGTGTTCCCAGGGGGGGGGGGCAAGACGGGGCATTTGACCTCCTAGAATTTTAAATTTGTTACCTAATGGTAATAGTTTAATGTAATAATGACAAAACATAATAATGTACCATAAATAAAATGTATAAAAAAATCTTCATTAATTTTGCCTTCCTCTATAAAAATGTCTGGGAACTCCCACAGAGCAAAGTAACATTGCTAACTTCGATCTATAAGTAATTTACTTGAGAACTTGTAAAATATTGAAGCCATGGTGAACCAAAAATTTTTAATCCCATCCTGACTACAGTTGAATATAATATTTTAGTCATAAGGTAAATTATATTAGAGTTGTCATTTGAGGTTTTGTTTTATCATAGTTAATAAACATATATTATACAATGACGCATGTATGCGGTTGGATGGTTATATATTTAATATTGTAATGTATCAAAATTATTACTTGTATTAAATGTATACCTATTAGTGTATTACATTGAAAATTAATGTTATTAAATAATTAAATAATATTATTTAAGTAGAAGGTAAAATTTAATTTTAATAGTATTCTAATTTATATTTTTTACTTTTCAATTTAGAAAATTAATTTACAAGTCTAATTTGTTAAGTGTCTTCTTTTTTTAAATTTCTTGTTATCATTAGTCCATTAGTTACTCAATTATTCAGCCAAGATAAAATTTTATTCTATTAAGATTTAAGACATTAAGTGATGAAAACATGTTTTATTAGACACAATACTATTTGATATGGTATTAAATATTTAAAATATGAGTGTTTTTGAAGATATTGTTAGAAGTTATTTGAGTGTTTCAATAATCAAATTCAAATACTTTCATGTTGAAGTAAATACTAAATACAGATAAAAATTTTATCACCTCTACTTAAAAACATAAGTAGTGATTAAAAAAATTGTTTGAATACAAAAATTTTGCATTGACGTAACAAGAGGATTATTATAATAAATTATCTAGACAATTTTTCTTATATATGCATAATGGTTTATACAGTATATTTATTTTTTATGCATAAATTATAGGTTTGCAAGTTTTAGGACAGGTCAATAAAATATAGGAAAATATAGGGGTATTAATATGTATACTGTTACTTCCCTCCTAAATGTCACGTCTGAATTATATAGGCTTGAAATAGATAAATTTAGTTAGAAAACATTTTAATTTTATGTAAAAAAACAATTTTGTACTAATTTTTAGTACTAAAGAGTACCTACTACCTACTTATATTTATTTGACTTATTAGAGAAATTAAATTTGGTATAGATATAAGACTAGTACCTAATAAAATTAATTTATTTTTAAATATGTTTTTCAGTATTTAAATGGGTTAGTACCTATATAAATGAGTAATCAGTATTTATGGATAATTTAACTGTATCTAAGGCAATAATTTTTAAGAGAAACTAAAACTTTTTTTAATATCGGGTAGGTGGCTACAATATAATATATTGTATTACTTACAGTTTTAATATAAGTATTTACAACGAGTTTTTAACTAATCAACAACTTGTTGGGAACAGTTTTGAAATAAATCCACTCTTTATTGAATAAATTATAATACATTTTAAAAATATATAGTATAATTCGGATGTAAACTAGAAAGATGCATAAAGTTTCAATATTGTGGAGATAGTTGTAAAAATTGTTTTATTTTTCTATAAGATTTCTAACTGATAGTGTGTTGTGCATAATACATTCAAATAATAATATTATAAATTAAAATAAATTAGTTATTAAAAATTAAATTATGAAAATAGAACGAGAAATTGTATTTGTCAAGTACAATTACAATTTCTTGTTCTGTTTTCATAATTGAGTTTAATAACTAATAGTACAAATATAGCAGAAATTATTATTAAAAATCGTAAATTGTAAATTTTTTATCACATTTTTAATAATAAAAATCTTAAATATTTTTGGGATTCTTATATTATATGTAAGGAAGTAGTAGGTTTTGAAATATTGCTTTTGTTGATCTACTATAAAATAAAAATTTAAGAATTTACTACACAACGCATTTTAAAATTTTAATTTAGACATTACTCGATCTTCGATAGAGATTATCAATAGTTTACACATTACACACCAGTATTTTTATAACACATATTTTTAGAAGGATATATAAATTGAACATATAGGTAAAAGAGCACATAATTATATATTGTTATCTAATAAATCACGCGCAGGTAAACCTAACATAATGAAAACGTCGATGGATTTTGTACAGAATTTGTGCTCAAGCTATAAATGTGTAACGATAATACAGTTGAACGCGCAGGCGACACAAATCTCACAAGCATGTGAACGAGAATCAATAGTTTAAGGGCCCCCCCGTCACTCTTCCAGGTTTATTATGGCCACGGGACTTTTATGAGATAAAATGAAGAGCATTCCAGAGCAATCGTCGCATAGTCAACATTCCATCCACGACCGACTACTAATAAAATATACCGATTATAATTTTCAAGTCTAATTTCAAACTTCTCGAAAAGCACAAGTTGGATAGGGAGATTTAAAAAAAAAATGAATTCTCATATCATTGTTTCATAGCGGCAGACTATTACAATTCACTTATTTCACTATATAAGGCAGTTTACATTAAGGCATGGAACCATTAAGTATTATTTTAATACAATATAAAACGTTTTCAATGATTTTTTGCATGGGTTTTCTTATTTTCTGTGGTGTAAACATTGCAAGCGTCATATTATTAGATAACGTTGATGAAAATTCCTTCACGATCTGTCCAATGAACCTTGACCTATATGGCTAAATACATATATAATATATATTATATATGCATGCACATACACTCCATATACCGAATTAATCGTTATGGATCTTCCTGTTGGTAGCATTAGGTATTTACGATTATAATATAGTTGGAGAGATGTGACGAAAACATGTTTATGATTAATACATTAACTGAAAATAACTTCAATGAACACCGACGGTTAAAGTTTCCGTGTGTAATTTAAATAAATAACAACAAAATATAATATAATTTGAACTAGATATACAAATAAAAAATGAATTTTTTTGATCTATTGAATGGGTTGGAAAACAGATACGCAGTATAGGATAGAAAAAATAAACAAAACACTTTACGTTCTCAAAGGTTACAAATAAGAAGTGCCAAGTGGGCGGGGAGATGGACTTAAGAGATAAGAGGAAGGTAGATATATTCCATCATTAATTCGAGAACTGTCCTACACATATATAATGTCGTTCTGACTGGGATCTATACAAATCATAAATAATTTGGTTTAATCTACAAGACTATAGACGTGACTATACGTAATATAAGATTAGTTAGATAAGGTTTTCATGTTTACTAAAACAGATGGAGTAAAATAAGACTAACAGAATCTAAAAACATACGTTAGGTAAATACACATTCACACCAACTGCAATCGTGATGCCGATCAAAATAACGTTCGTGAACAACTTTGATATTGAACAGCGTTATTTAAATTAATATCAGCGATTATCTGGGTACGATTGAATACATTAGTCCAATAATAGATTCTCTAATACTCGCTATTCTTATCAAAAAGAACATAAATTTACTAACAATCTGCAACAGCGAGTTAACTATATAGCTGTTCAACATTTCCTGCCATGTAATACATCCATCATATAGAGCGAGACAGGACCTTAATTTCCTTAGAACACTCATATAATATGCACGTACTGTATCAGTGGTCGGGCGAATGGAAAACGGTTAAAATACTTAACAGAAAAGTGAAGTTTCTTCGGAGTTAATTCGCTGTGAAAACTTGGGTACGAGTTTTCTACAACCCTAGCGACAACAAAGTTCCACGGAGACACGCTGTCCATTGTACATATTCTAATATTGACGGTTATATAATTATGTGATATTGTATTTGGATTCGTGATTGTTACGGAGACAAGGGGTGGTTTCAGTTGACGCACAAATTGTCTAAAATGTTGGTTAGCTGGTAATATTTTACATTAATTATAAATTATACACACGATTTATAAAAATAACAACTAAATGATTTACACTTTGAAAATGTTTCCATAATATTTTTGACCACCGTAGACGCTTTTTTTTAATTACTCAATACGATTAGTTTGTTTTTAATTATCTTTGATTAGACGAAATAAAATAATAATCGATTTACGTGAATAGTTGTTTCCATTTCTTATTAAATAAAATACTTAGTGCATAGAATAAAATGTATCAAATTTTGTACTGATTTTTTTTAATAGGTATAGGGATAAATAACATGCTATAGTTTATACAATTATTAATTTAGTATATTCATCATTGTTAATTAAAATTATTGAGTGTTTTAATTAAAATCAGGCATTATTAGAACCACTTACGCATAACGAAATATTGTTTTATATAGGTACATTAATTGTACCAATCGATAAAACATGCACAAAATAATTTTATCAATTGTTTATGAAACTCTGTTCAGTGGCGTACATACAAGGGATAGGTTTGTGTATTTAATCCCCACCACCCTTTGAATTTTTTCAATATCTAAAAACGTAAACAGTTTTTTATGCAACATATAAACATTTAATATATAGTCTTTAAAATTTTGTGACTAAAACAATTTGTAGAATCGTGCTAGAACCAACTTATTAAATAAAATTTAATCAATTATATTATTCTCATTAAATATTTAACTGATACATTTTATAATAAATATTATGAGAAGTGCTTCATACTATTCTCGGATCAAAGGATTAAAGGGTATCCTGGCCTGTTTAGGTAATTTTTCATATTAAATATAACTAATAGTTCAAACGGCGTAATATATAATTTTAAGAAAGTGTTTTATTTAAATTAATAAAAAGACTGATGTACTCGGAATAAAAATTTAAACGAATAATGGTACAATACAATTATGATTGAAAATACATTGTTTCAACACATATATAATTATGTTAGAGTATATTAATTAAAGTGACATATTTTAAAAAAGTAATGAAAATAAATGCAAATAAAATTGGCATTATTGTTTAAAATAATAACACAACTAGTCATTGAAAAACGGCGTATACTATTCATTTTAGATATAAATGTTGGCCGCTAGTTTCACGCTACAGGCAGTCGTTACGAGAGCCTTCCACAACTGTTCTATACCTCCAGCAGTTTGGACGCGCCGCATTCCAAGTATATCATAGTAAGTACACCCTCTCGGACATATGATGTAATTGTATATAAATATATAACTAATGATTAAATATATAATAAATATATATTATATAATGACATTAATTTTTTAAGCAAATTATAAAAAATATAAAATTATACGTTTAAAAAAAAAAAATTCTTTTGTTTTAAATATATTTATTGAAAACAAAATGTTTAATTCCAAATTTATATTTTGTACAAATATTATTTTAAACTAGTGGTGACCAACTTTTTTCGAAAAAATTTTCGGCGAGTCAAGAATTTAAATTTTTTCTTTGAATCTAATGTTACATTTTATTTTAGGCACATATTAATAGGGAAGAAATAATTTTTTTCAAAAGAAATATTTATTTATATTAAATTTTACAAATGTTAAACTTTTATAATACTTTTTTTTTTTAATTTTAATGACTTTGGTGGGTCGTACTTGGTCATCACTGTTTTAAATAATCGATTAAGACTTTTTGTACATTTTTGTATATTATAATAATAGTAGGCGAGTATAAATATTACATTATAAGTAATAGAACAGAAATAAAAATAAATTATTTAATTAGTGAAATTACGTAGCTTTATAATTTGATTTATAAAGTGAAAAATATGATTAAATTAAAATTCCATATTTTTATGGTAATATTTTAAATATTTGTTAAAAGAATAATAAAAAAAATAGTTTTGAATTATATATTAAGGTGAATAATGTATGTTTTCTCAGTGAAATGATATACTTGTTGGAGACGTTAAAAATATATCTAAAATTTACAGTGTTTTATACAAAATGTGAAGATCTTTCAGAAAAAATCCTATTGAGTATAATAACACATTATATGAGTTTTTATTTCTATGCGTATTTGATGTTTCAAAAATTATAAAAGTAATGAAAAAAATAATAACTTTAGTAGAACGATCTATATATCTGAGCAATAATTTGATAAATATGGAATAATATGGTTATACAAAAATATTAACTAATAATTGGTGTCTATAAAAAAAAAATTATGCATAAATATATACATTATATATGTATATGATACAATAGGTACCCGTACAGAAGAAAAACCTAGGCCAAATGTATCGATATAAAATTTAGTAAAGATTTAGTATAATTTTTTATAATTATTAATTTATTTCATACGTAGTCTGACTAATTTTATTTGAAATATGAAAATTTACAAGCTGTACAATAATCAAGTTTTATAGAGCTAAGAAATTAAAAAGCGTGAGTAGGGAAGTCGACAAGTGGTGGCACCACAGAGTTTAGAAGTTGGCGTATTTATTAGATACTTGCTTGTAAATTTTTCACCAACGTAATTTAAATTATAATAAGTATAAGTGTGGAATTAATATCGTTAATTGTGGTATGAGTATTAAAAATTAATACTTGTTTAAAACGTATATAAATCACTTATATCACTTTAAAAATCTAGAAATTATCTTTAATTATGTTTTAAAAATGAAATGTTAATATTTTATTTGAATAGATAAAAATTAAAAATAATACACTGTGTATAACAATTTGGAAGACACTCAATGATTAAAAATTGGTTAATTCATTGTACTAAATGTAATATTTGTTTTTATATACCTAGTGGTACCTGTTTATATTCGTAATTTTTCATTTATTCGAAAATCCAAACTATATTAGATACTTTAAATGGACTTACAAAAGTTCCACGACTTGAGTAAAGGATATTCAGGTATTTTTCAATCTAATATTTAATATAACATAAGTAAATATAATATCAAATAGTTCATAAAAATAAAAATAAAATAACACCAACGACCATGAAAATGTTTTCAATTCAAAAATTAAATTGTGGTAACAGTATAATTTAATAGGCACTAGGTATAGATGTTGGCAATAATATTTAATTTTTATAACCAATATAATATAAGTAATTATCTTGAAAATATGTAACGATTTCCTGACTTGTCATATATTTCTATAGTTTAACAATTTATTTTAAACTGTATTTTACTAACATGCAAGTTTTATTTAAAATATATTAATTATTTGAAGGAAATTTTCAAAAAAGCTCAATTATTGTGAATTTAATGATCTTATATTGATTATTTTCCGATATGAATTAATTTTATTTATTCATTACAAGTTTTGTTAACAACTGGTGCTACTTAAACTTGTCAAATAAAGCAATATTAATTAAAATATAGGTACCCTTAAATTTTCAGAAAAACATCTCTATAATAAATAAGAAATGAAAAAATTGAATAAATATAAAAAAGGTGAAAAATCTGTTGTTGACTTGCAGTGGTTTCGTCAATCTAATATTTCCTTCGCGTACATGACAACATAAACTATTATCATTCTCGGAGAAAAATAAATTAGCCTTACATCCTTAACGAAATCAAATGCATTTGAATTATAATAAAAGTGTTGATTAAATTTTTTATTTAATTTGAAGGACAAATTTATAAAATGGATACGGAACAATTTCGCAAACATGGCAAAGAAATGGTGGACTATATATGTGAATATTTAGAGACAATAAAACATAGAAGAGTGACACCAACGGTAAACCCTGGATGGTTAAAAAATCAAATCCCACTAGAAGCACCTGTACATCCGGAGGCATTCGATGAAATAATGAAAGACGTTGAAAACATTATTATGCCAGGAGTAAAATATTTACATATATTATAATTAGTGCTTATAGTTGAACGTTAATTATGTTTTAAGCAATAAAATACTGGGATTTAAACAGAATAAAATATTTTTAATAGAGTTTTAAACACAATAGAAATTGGAAATTTATATAAACTTACTTTTTAATATCTTATCTTATCAGCCTTTTGTTTTCAGATTCAAACAGAAGTATGGTATAAAATCTGTAACATAAATATAAAAGACATTTTTTAATTTATGTATTTACTAGGTAACTCATTGGCAACATCCAAGATTCCATGCTTATTTTCCTTCTGGTAATTCATTTCCTTCAATTTTAGCAGATATGCTATCTGATTCTATAGCATGTATTGGTTTTTCATGGGTAAGTTACAAATAAAATACATTTTTTTTTTAAATAATATATTTTAATTTTTAAAGGCTGCAAGTCCTTCGTGTACCGAATTGGAAACTATAGTTTTGGATTGGCTAGGTAAAGCCATAGGATTACCAGAAGAGTTTTTAACATTTTCAGAAGAAGCATCAAAAACTATTAATTCTGCGAGACAAGGTGATAGCGAAACCGAAGTACACAATGGAAAAGGCGGTGGAGTACTTCAGGTAAGAGATTAAAACAATTAAATTTAATTAGCTATATAAATATACCTATTACAGAAACTATTTTTTTTTAGAGTTCAGCAAGTGAGTGCATATTTGTTTGTATGCTAGCAGCTCGAGCTCAAGCAATAAAACGATTACGAAAACTTCACCCATTTATTGAAGAAGGTGTTCTACTATCAAAACTGATGGCTTACTGTTCTAAAGAATCACACTCGTGCGTGGAAAAAGGGGCTATGATGGCGTTTGTTAAATTACGTATACTGGAGCCTGATGAAAATAATAGTTTAAGAGGGGCTACGTTAAGACAAGTCAGCTGAACACATAATACTTAAGTTACAAATATTTGAATTAACACATTTTTAGGTGATGGAACAAGACGAAGCGATGGGATTAATACCGTTTTTCGTTTCCACTACATTAGGAACGACGTCATGTTGTTCATTTGACAATATACCCGAAATTGGTTTAGTATGTCAGCAATTTGAAACTGTTTGGTTACACGTTGATGCTGCGTATGCAGGAAGTGCATTCATATGTCCGGAGTTTCGGTCTCTAATGAATGGTGTACAATATGCAGACTCTTTTAACCTCAACACAAATAAGTGGTTGTTAACAAATTTTGATTGTTCATGTCTTTGGGTAAAAGATCGGTTAAAATTAACTTGTGCTTTGGTGGTCGATCCTCTCTATTTACAACATGGTTATGCTGGTGCTGTAGATTATAGACACTGGGGTATACCACTGAGTAGACGTTTCAGGTATGTTTAAAATAGTTTAATACGATTTGTATTTTATAAATGAGTATCAATAAGTTTGAACACAAAAATTTAGATCACTAAAGCTTTGGTTTGTGCTACGCACATACGGAATTTCTGGACTTCAAAAATATATTAGGCATCATTGTCAACTAGCAAAACGTTTTGAAAGATTAGTCAGAAGCGATAATAAGTATGAAGTCTTAAACGATGTGAAGGTAATAATTATTGAAATATATAATATTAAATTCAATATTTTATCATTATATTAAATTGGTTTTTTTTCATTAAAAAAAAAAAAATAGATGGGGTTAGTTTGTTTTCGTTTGAAAGACGATCCGACCAATAAACTAAATAAAAAGCTCTTAGAAACCATTAACGAATCAGGAAAACTTCACATGGTGCCGTCATTAGTACACGAAAAGTATGTCATCAGGTTTTGTGTAGTTGCAGAGCATGCTACAGAAGATGATATTGGTAATATAAAACAAACATATAGTATTGAAATTAAACAATTAACTGAAATCAGTAACATTATAAGTCTTATTTTAAGTACCTACTATTCAATTATACTCATTACATGTTTAATGCAAACTACTTAAGTTTAATAAAACATAAATTAACGGGTTAAAATTAATTTTTTCTATGGCTTTATACTGTTAATATTATGAACCATGATAATCAATTTTCAAAATAACAAATTAGTACTAGAAAAAGTTATTTATCCGATTTTTAATTACAATTCATAACAGTTTTATTTTCATAAGTATTTTTTGAAGTATATTAGGTATTTACATTTTTAAATGTTTTTTATGATTAATTAAAAAGTATAGACAATAAATATTGTTGTTCTTAATTTTTTTTTATTACAATAAAACTCTTTAAATTATGAAAAACAATACTTTATTCATGTAACTTAAGGTTTAACTAAAATTTATTGAAATTTAGATTACGCCTGGAAAATTATTAAAGAGACAGCTGTAACAATCGTGTACAACGAACAAGAACTCACAGAAAAACGAGAAGTTAGTAAATATAATTTATTTTAATATGTACATAGTTTAAATAGGTTAAAATGTTTTATCTGTTATAGTATAAGACACCATTTTTATGTATATAGTATATTCAGATTTGTGTACAACACAAGTAGGTATTTTAGATTATGAGTGGAGCGATGAATATGTATTCATTTTATAGCGTTGAGTTTTATATTTTTATTTAATTTTTTAATGTCTTAATTTAAACGTACCAAGCTAGAATTTAATACAAGATTCATAGTAAGTTGTTTAAAATTGGAATAATTATAAAAAAAAGTATTGGATATAATGATTTCTGTTTCAAAATAGTTAGACTAATTTTGAGTTAATTATAAACATTTGAAATTTTCTAATTCATTTAGTTTTTTTTTTTCGAGGAACTCTGATAAAAATTAAATATTTAAACAACAAAAAAAAAAAAATCATTATTTTAGTTATATTTTACAATTCAAAAAATATAATTTGTAAGAACTAAAAACTTTTCGTTTTAATGTGTATTATTATTTACTACACAGTAAAAAATTTTCAAAATATTTAGATTAATCTTATGCTACTTTCACTAAGAGCCTATTCTTATCATTCACGGTATATTGGTATTAATTTAAAAGTTAGAAACAGCTAGAAAGAAACGTAATATTGCTTGAAATAATATTATAATATATTATATGATTTGTTCTTAAAAAAATTAGTTAAATCACAACCATAGTACCTAAATATAGACAAATAAATTACTAATAACAATACAAATAATAAAATATAAGCTGACCGACTGTCTTTTCTGAGATTCATTTTTTGTATGCAATGATTTTTAATAGAATTCAAATTTAATATAACCATTACAGTATAACTAATACGAGGTAGGTTACACTTGACACATACATGACTTCCCAGGATTATTTATTGGTATGCATTTTCAGTTTTATAATCTTACTACGTTTTTGGTAATAGATATTAAATGATAATGTTAAACAATATGTGTGGATGGTAAAATATTAAGTTTTCCAATAATTATTATTAGGGTTATAAATTGATTGTATTTAATTACTAAAATATGCATTTTAAATATAAAAGGATATCCAAATTAAAATAAAGGAGGAAAGTATGTAACCACTCTGCAGCACAGTATGAGTCAAATGTACTTCGTTATTGTAATATAAGTGTTAAAATTTAATTAAATCATAAATCATTGCATAAAAAAAAATTATTTTGGCAAAGATGTTCTATCAGCCTATATAATAATGATATTAATTTATTTTGCTATTAATTTATCATAAAATACCTAAACAAATAAAGGTACACATTTTTTTAATAATTTTAGCATTGAACTATGGAATATTTAAAAGAAAATTTAAATTAAATTTTCAATAAAAATTAAACATTTTATAAATTTTTAACAACACAAATTTCACGATTTTGACAAATTTTGATGTTCAAACATTTACAAAACAAATTAAGTCTATTTATGATAAATATTTTCAAATTACTAAATATGTACCTTATGTACCTTGTGAGGGATTTGATATTCAATTATCAAATTTTTTAAAAAGCTAAATAAAAAAAGAAAATTGATAACACCTATTAATAGTTTAAATACTATGAAAGTGTTATTGAGTATTAAAAACGGTAATTAATGTAACATTAGAATGTTTCAAGTTTTTATAATTATATAATTCTTTTCAAATTATAAAAAAAAAAAAAATTGTTATTTTACGTGAGCATTGTATTCAATTTTAAATAATTTTTCCAAAAATTATTGTCGATTTATGCTTGAAATTTTAGTTAATTTCACAAATAATAGCTAATGAGGTTCTATTCATTTTTCAAGTACTTTGATTGTAAAAAAGTTTTTATTAACATTTATATAGAGAAAGAAACAAAAAATATAGGTACCATTATAAATGTTTACAATTTGCTTAAAAAGTAAAAATATTGAAGTCAAAAACTTAAACATTTTTACTGCTTCAAAAAATGATAACACTAATAAATTTATCTATAAATAGAAGAATAGAAAACTGGCTAAAAATACAAATAAAAGTTTTATATTTTAACTTGTTATATAATTCAAACATTGTGCTCATTAACTTTTTTATATCCCTCTCGCTCACAAAGTTGATTTTAAATAATTATAAATTACTTGTTTTAAAATAATTTGTTAAATGTGAAATAGGAACAAGTGGATGAAGTGTTTGAGTTATCAGAACGTAAAAAGAAGGATGATTTGGCCTACAGGAGATCATTCTTTGTTCGAATGGTCAGTGATCCAAAAATATATAATCCTATAATTGCTCGATCATCCCCTGGATCTCGCAGACATACTCATTTAAGTTCAATGGATGATGATATCCATGATCCATTATCCATTGCTACAAGTGATACAGAAGATACAATGACTCAACCAGCGTAAGAAATAATAATAATCAATAAAAAGTTAATGATAATTAATTTACATGTGGTGAATTGAGAATAAGATATTCTCAATTAGATATCTAAAAGTAGTAGGTACTTTTAAAGGATGATTCTTTATTTATTTTTTATAATTATTTTACTTGTCTAAAAACATATGATTAGTTTAAATATTTATATTGTATGATCAATTCAGATTACTTTATATTATTTTTATTATTTTACTTTGCTTTGAATATTCCATACAAATAACTATACAGTTTTAAAAATATATTACTCATAATAATTAGAGAAAATGCCAGTGAATAAATTTAATATTTCACAACTAGGTATAAATGTTTATTTAACAACTATGAAATTAAAATATTATGTTATTATACTTTTAGAAGTTCATGGATAAGTTGGCCATTAGCATTTTTATTTCAAGGCGTATTTGATGATAAAGAAGGAAATGATGTTCCTTTAAGGTGAGTAATATAATAAGTGTTTATAATATTATAATTGAATAATTAATAATAAGAAAATATTTAAATATAGATTTAGACATTTAGCAACTAAAATGCACTTTAAATCAAAAAGCAAATCACCGGAACACTTGGCCACAGAAGAAAACAGATCACGGCGCAATTCTCCAGTATTTCCAAGGAAATCTAGTTATATTAAAACTGAAAATGAAAGTAACATGCAAAAATAAGAACTGACCAAAATATAAAAATAATTTTTGCTTGTATTATTTTTCAAGCTTGTTAATAATTATAAGTTCATGACCTCAAATGCACAAAATGAATCTAGATGCTTATATTAAAAAATATTTACTGTTAAGCTAATATTTGTAAATGATTAAAAAAAAAATGATATAGTAGAATAAAAAAATGAAATATATACAATGATAGACAATTTTTTAGTTCATAAATATATTGACATAATCAGTTTAGTAATTTAGGATAAATGGTAGGGAAAATTCAGAACCAAGATAAATTAAAAAAATATTAACTTAAGGTACTAATAAATAATTCAAAATATTGATTTATAATAGATAATTTAATATTAAAACATAAACTAGTAATAAGTTTAACATTTTTACTAAATAATGATTATTTAAAAAATAAAAATAATTTTTTCTTTTGTACGAGAGTAATAGTTTCTATTAAATTTATTAGATATTCTTCTAACAGACAGAAGTGAGGCTTTAACTATGAGAAAGTAGGATTCATGGGTCCAAATCTCTTAATTTTCTGAAAAAGTATGACTATATAAAATTTTTTTTTAATGTATTGGTTAATTATTCATTATCTGCTTTTATATACAATAAGTAAATTCATTAAAAAATTCAATGCCACTGAATATTGATAATACTAACAATGATATAACATGATTAATAATATTTATAGATAGCAAAATTACACTATACTTGATACATCATTTATTGTTTTTAAAATAAATGTAAAGGTACTCATTATGCATATTGTATAGTAAAAATATATACTAATATAAACTATAATATAATCTAAATAATTATAGGGTACATACAATTATTAAGACAAATAATAATATTAATATTAGATTTAAGAACATATATTAATTACTAAATATAAAATACTTTTTTTATTATTATTTACTCATTTTAAAAAACAACCATTAAATAATAAAAATTATTGCTTATCATATAAGGTGATACCAACATATTTTAACTGAATATATCATATAAAAATTCTTAAATATTAAGTAGATACTCATAAAAATATTAGTCTATTGGTTGATTAAGCAAAAAAAAAAAAAAAAAAAAATAAATACCTAAATAATCATAATATTTGAGGTCATGACATTATAACTTATACAATTCAATTCCTGATTAATTAACTTGCTTTCTGTATGAAAAAAAATAAATTATTAGTGTTGAATAATAAAATGTAGTTTTTTGTTGTAAATTCTATATTTATAAAAATACTAAAATACTTATGGTTTAAAATTTTAAACATGTTATCTAATCATTGTTTTTTTGGAACATGCTGCAATTATTATCCAATTATAAACCATAATCACTAGATTACTTAATTGTTTTAAAGTTTACAATTTATTGAATAGATAATTTTTATTTATATCAATAATAATATTTATACTTGTTATACTTAAAACACATATCTATTATAAAGTTAAATTTGAAAGGTAGGTAAGAGCGGTATTATTTAGTTGTTTATTAAAGTTAATTAAACACATCAATCAATAATCTTTGAATTATTCATCAACTACTGCATTAAACATAGTGGCAATCATATAATTTAATACACCATGAATTTTTACTTGGAAAATTCACCATTATAAGTAGTGTTTTATCTTTTTCTTAAATTTCTCAGTGTATTGGAAATTGCTCTCAAATTTACAAAATTATCTCTGTTTATCAAAAGCTTAACCCACTAATTTCTGGTTAACTTTTTATTTCTCTGAGAAATTACAATTTTTTAAAACAAATAATACCTATTTGATAATATCCATTGTGTGACATAACACAAAATTAACTTTTGCCAATTGTCAAAATGTACAAGATGAATTAGATATTATCAGCTGTTGGATCACCCAAACTGGATTAATTCTCAACTTGAGAAAGTGTTTAGTAATTTCTTTTTCAGATATCGAAAACCCCTAGTTATAATGGGTAAGTTACTTTTAAAAGGTAACTAAGCCACATTATTAATTAACATAAAAAGTAATTAAATTATTGACAGTTACCAAAATACATAAATGTTACTTTCTATTTTAAAAATAACTAGTAACAATGACAACATTTTAAATAAGCAGTTTATGTATTTTAATTTTTTTTTTTTATTTGATATAGGTTAATCTATCTTTAAAATTGTTGTTATTTTTTCATGTTTAAAGCAAAAACCCCAAATTATACTAAAAATGCATTTTATAAAAGTGCCAGAAAAGAAAAATTCATTAGTCATTAGCATAAAAAATTATGATTGGTTTAAAATGATTTAATTAAGAACAGTTTTTCTTCTTATAGAATTTAAAAAATAACTAACTTAATAATTCTTGCATTACATCGATAAATAAATAATAAAGTAAACATATTAACCAATACTGTCCCTAGTTCACTTTTATTTTCAGAGTGATATTCAACTCCACTAAGATCTTGAAATATAATATACCCTACTATCTTTTTTTAAACATCAACACTAATGTTACCATAAAAAGAGCGTTAAAAGTCTTAGGTTTCATCAAATGTTACTGTAAAAATACTTTATACTTGTTAGATGACTTATTCTAGAATATGGCATGGTTGTAAGGCACCCTTCTTTGTCAAAAACCAACTTCATGCTGAACTTGTTCAAAATAGATTTTTATCAAACGCTTTTTACATTCTTAATATTCATCAATCTTAGAAGTCATACACATTCATTCAGTCTCTTTTTTTATGGTACATTAAAGTTGATTAGTTTATTAATAGTTTTAAAAACAAAACTCTAAATGCTCTAGTTCTAATTAGAAGATTTTTTAGAAGTTTCTGCTTACTCTATTTGCAACAAACTACTTTCTTTATCCAGTCACACTCCTTTGTATAACTATAACTGCATGCACAGAATTTATACTCCCCAAAGAATCAGTATTTTTGTATCTTTAATCTTTTTATTATATGCTTATAGTGCCTGATAGGTTGAATACAGGCTCACTGAGTTTCAGAATTTTTACTAATCCAAAACATGGGTATTATTTTTTTTAAAGATTTAACTTTTACTGAACATATTAATGAAAACATTTTATGAGCCATTGTGTAACTGTGTACTTGAATTTTTAAAATGTAATTGCTGGAAACTGAATAATTCTACTTGCTGAAAAAATTATTTTTATAGTTAATTTGTATGATATATTATGAAATATGGGATTTGAATTCCAGATTATGATTATTTTATAAAAAACTGAGTAAAATTAGAAAATCGATATCTATGTTTGTTGGCACTAAAATCGTATAAACATAAATCATATAATTACTACTGACAACAATAGATATCACATTTAATATAGGTAATAACTTTAGAATTCAGAAAACAATACTGTGATGTACTGTTAGTTATAAAATATGTTAAATACCAAAATAGATTGCTTTGAAATGTTGTCCTAAATTCATCTTAATGTTCCTAATTTCACGTTATATTCTACCACTACAATTCACAATCTAGTGTACAAGAAAAACTTTTGTTTTTATTTTTTGATTTTCTACATAAGTTAAAAACTTGTTTAAAAATTAATAATAATTAATAACTATTAATATGTATAAGAATTACTTAATATTAGTTTGTATTTTTGTATCTTCGTACTTAGTTCTAAAATTAAATTTGCATCTATATTGTATGCCCCAGGTATACAATTAAAATAAAAAATACCTGTTAAACTAGTGAAAAATAATTATATTATTAAGCTTAATATTTAATCAATTAAAATATAATCCAGTCTATAGAGTTAAACTCAATAATTTGCTAATTTTTATAGGCCAGAATATAGCCATGTTTATATAGATTTAGTCTTTAGGTTTCAACTATATTATAATCATTTATAAAATTGTAATTGTTGTTTGATTTTTATATTCCAGTATAAAAAAAATTAAAAAATAATAAATATTATTTTTATCTTGTATTAAAATTTAAAAAATATATATTTGAAATATGAAATTATTTTTCAAATTATGATAAAAATGTTGTTTTATTGAAAATAAAAATTATTTTCACTTTTAATGCTATAGAATTTCTAATAACAGTAGGCATCTGTTAAAAATATTACTTTTATTTGGTAATGTTATAATAGTTGAACTGAAGCCAATAATATTAAAATATATTAATATTTTAAAGGTTACCATTGAAAAGTTTAATTCAAGTCGGATATCAAATACTATTTAACAATAATCCAAACAAATGAAATAATCAAATAAGTAGGTTAAAATTAAAAAGGCAGTATAAAGTAAATTTAGTTAAAGATTAAAAATGTTAGTATAATTGATTTGTGCTATTTCATATTTAATACTATATAGTATTATTTGGTAATAATCAAATTAATTTAAAATACATTTTTTAAAATTTGTAATCATTAAATTTAATAACAATATTTAATTAAGACTATTTTTAATACATTTTGAAATAATAAAATTAATTTTCAGTAAACTAATTGACAATTAATTAGATGTAAATTTTAAATTAAAAATATTGTATTTTGCTTAAAATATGTTATTGATGTTAATCGCTATGATCATGAAACAATTTAACTATTATTTTTTAATGAATTAATTACAAAATGTTATAATGTAGTTAAAAAGCAGTAAAAGCAATACACTTACTTGATTATCTTAGTACACAGGACGTGTTATCTAAATCACACCTGTATACGTTTGAAACAGATGTAAAGATATAAGTAAATAAAAAAGAATTCAACAAATTAAACAATCAAAATAGGTTTTTATTATATTATACCTATTATCTACAACAATTTTACTATGACTAATATCATTGTATTTTTCTCTATTGTCTATCTAAAACCTTCTAGTGTTTGAAATTCAAAATATTTATTTAACTATGTAGGTAGATGTAATGAATAAATGAAACTATATTTTATCATTAGCTTATAATATAGTATGATATACATTATTGACATTACATAACCTCATTTTTTTGCGCGCTAATCTTACGGTATCAAGAAATAATTATTAACACTAAAATTATCACAAGCTAAGATAATATGTTGTTAAGTAATGGTTATTGTGCTTATTATCAATTTTATCAAAGATGTTAGAAAATATAAGCAAACCACTTAGATTTTATAAATAAGGTCTATCTATGGCAAACTATTATAAATGTTTCTTATATTGTAAAATATTGTATTACTGTTAATTCTTAATAAATATTATAAGCAGTTTGTGAGAGAAAAATCTTCTTATATTATAATATATAACGTGAAGTGGTTCGCTTTTTTTCGATAGGTAAGAGGTACTTTGAATAATAAAATTAAAATTAAACTTATGTCGAGTTGCACAAACAACCGCTAAATATATTTCAACGCATTAATAGTGATTAGTGAGTTCAGAGTTAATATAGGTCTATTAAACATGATTTAGATACTCATGATTGGCTTACTAAATTTTAGTGAACCATTAAATAATGTACACATTTTTTATATAATACCCCTCACTAATATTTTAATTCTTGAAGCAAATATAAGTAATATTATTATATCTATTTTTTTTTATAAATTATAATGTAATTTTGATTTTTGAAAACGGATAAGTGCCTATATCTAGATAATATATAGTCTTTATAGGTTAGGTATATACGTATCACTTTTGCCACCTTTTTGTTTTTAAAATTAAGTACATTCTGACTTGTGAAACTTTTTTTTGGCTTACAAAACAAATTGTGATTTATTATTTTTATTTATTTTATTGATTTATCATATTTTCTTTAACTTATATTGAATTAACACTAACAAACAATATTAGGTGCAGTCTACAAGACTACAAATGTGAAGAGACTAAACATTTCAAATAACGGGAAACACGAATAATTGCTTATAATACCCATGATATAAATGATATAACACTAAAATATTAAATAAAATAATTATATCTATAATATTGTTATTATAATACATGAATTGTACATTATTAGTTATTAGGTGCTATTCTAATTCATAATGATATTTTACATATATATTAGATAGTTCAATATAATTTGTATCAAATACTATTGATTAAAGAAAAGTAACAATAAGTAAAAAAAAAAAAAAAAATAAAAAATAATAATCAAGATTTAATCTTAACAGAAGTCTGAATTATATTGATTAAAATTTGGTTAAAATTGGAACGTTCCGGAGTACCTACCTTACGAATAATTTGTTGAAGAGAGCATTTTTTAACCACCATATGAGGTAGGAGAGCTGTGTCCCTCTGCGTCCCCTTATTTTAACTCCTGTAAGTATATAATAAAGTATATTTTATTAAAACAATTAACTACAAAGTATAAAATACAGAAATGAAAACAAATACAATGCTTTGAAAATAGTGTGAATGGCAACTCTGACCTATTAAATATTGGATATAGGTACTGATTATTTTTAAAGATACTCAAATAGTCAAATAACTATCAGAGTTGTTTAGCATTTAAATAGGTAAATTGTATACATCATATATTATTCAAATGTGAAATATCGGTGTTTGATAGTTTCCACCGGGAATGATTTTACAGCTTTTCGTCATTTATAAATTTGAAATAATTATAGTTGATTGTTATACTACAAGAATCTATTGATTATATTACAATAGGTACTGTATAGTGTATACCTATTGCGCTATTGCGTAATAAAATGTTACATAAATTATATTTTTAAACATTATTGTTGTCTATTGATATGAATAAACAAAATAAATAAATAAGTATTAATTATAATTAGGGGTCGGATGTTTATGCACTTAAAACTACTGTAATGCATTTATGCATTAAAAAATTACGAAATATACGCTAAAAATTATAAAATATGCATTTTTAACCAATAAAAATGCCAAAATATGCACAAATATATTTTTTAAATTTACATAGCGTTTTATTTACTTTAATTTACATTATTATTTATAAATTAGGTATTACCATTATTAGCGTTATACTGTGCTAGGTACTATATAGTTTTTTTTAATTTGTTCAAATTTGTAATTTCGTCTATTATCGTTTAGTAAATTTTTGTAATGTGAAAAGTTTCGTTTTACATTAACTGATGTTATTTAAACCTTGTCCAATAAAGTACTGTGATTCCGAACAAACACGATAAGTCGATAATAAACATTTATATTTTACGTCAATACTTGGTAAATTGTAGACTGTAGTTACCATCTATAAAATTGATACATACAAATTGTGAAATTAATTGTATAGTTCGTTAATTAAATTGTTTTTTTTTTTTTTTATGTAATGTACTGAAATATGCTTTTTTATTTTAAAAATCCCAAAATGTGCAATTAAAATACGAAACCATAAAATATGCAAAATAAAAATAGTATTATTTGATTCAGTATAACATGAATTAAATTTGTATCTAGGTTAGCATTAAATTAGATAAATAGAAAAAAATATGTAATTTCATAAACATCCAAGCCCTAATTATAATTAATAAAATATTTAAAATTAGGTTATTATTCTCTATTCCATGCCATTGTAAAGCTTGTAAAATTCGTTATTGTTTGATGTTTAAAATTAATTAGAATTTAATGCACATATTTTATATTAATACAGTGACCTATTAATCAATGATTAGGTTACCTGTTATGCAACCGATAGTGGTTACCTATTTTCCCCTCCCCTTTTTTACTTGACATTTTCATAAAACATTGTAATTATTTTGTAACTAAATGTAAAACTCAATAATTGAGATTCTTGACTTGACTAAAATTCTATAAAAACGTTTAAAATTGGTCGAGTATCAGAGTTAATAAATTTTCATTGTTAACACTGAACGTTTTACCAGTCACGTACTTGCATTACTTTATTTGTGTTTGTGTACTTATCATTTTATGTCGAAACGGATATTTTTAAATTTATTATATTTTAATTATATTATAAGAATACAATTTTAATAAATAAATATGTAATTTTGTTACAGCACTAATAGTAGAACTAAGCCTTTGTGCATTATTGTTTACTTTATTTTCGTGTCCGGGCAATAATAACAGTGCCATTTACTTTCGTAGTTTAGAAACTTTTTAATAACTGTCCTCGACTGAACTTCGCAGATGGCGTTGTCGTATACATTTGTGTTGTATTTTATTTTAAAATTTCTCACTTCCTAGCCAAGTTTTAATAAGCTTACGGTGATATTTTTATTTTTCTTGTAATCACCGAGCGTTAAAAATTGCATAATTCATACTCACCAATAATTATGCACGTCGGTTATGTTGTGGTTGGAATATTGGGGGAAAAAAAAAATAAAGATGAACCATAGGCTTAATTTTTAAATCAGTGTTCCCCACAGTCTTTAATTTTACCATGAAACATTAAATTGTAATAAACCATCAAAAGTTATATAATACAACTTAAATATGTATTTCTAAATAGTCGTTTTAAATTAAAAATTATTCAACTTAAAATTTTTTTATAAAGGTTTATAAATATATGTATATATATTATATAAGTAACAAGTCATAATTTTGACTATAAGTCATCATTAAGTTACAAATGAATAATAAAAATGAAAAAAGAAGAACATTTTTAAATTCTTTGAATTTCTTACTATGGAGTATTCTAGAGAAGATGATTTGCTTTAAACTCCGTTGAAATAACGAATCACTAAAAGCTGATTTGATAAAATCGGTTGCTTTGTGGTAAACAAGTTATCAGATCGTTTGAAGAAGTGTGTAAATGTAAATGGTGTATATTTTGATAAGTAATTATTTTTTTTTACTCACTAAATTTATAAATAATAAATAACATCAGGTTTTTTTATAATTGCTTTGTTTTGTCACTAAGAACTCGGGTGGTCACTATTTTAATTTTAATTTATAATTTTTAACTTAAATGTTATCTTTAATTTTTATAACTTTAATTTATAATAAAATTACCTTAAAGGTTTTTAAATTTTACTCAAAAAATTGTCTGATTTTTTAATCAATAATTTATAGTTTTAATCTATAATCTTATGTTTAATTATCTGAAATTTTACCCTAAAATTTTCTGATATTTCAATATATAATTCATAGTTTTCTGATATTTTATATGATTTGAAATTTCCGTCTTAAATATTATCTTAAATTTTTTGAAATTTTAATCTATAATTTTCTAATATTTTAAAATACAATTTTTAATATATATATATTAATTTTTATCATTTTTTTTCTAATTATAAAATATATATATATATATAGTAGTTATAAAATAATAATGCAAATCTGATGATTAAATACAATTGGTTCGTAATATACGAGTAGTTCTTATTCTACGTTATTATTATAACCTACATATTAGCAGTAACTCAAGTTTTTACGTTGTTTTTATTAGGTAATATATAAAAAAAATATTATTAAATTTAACTAAAAAAAATTGATTTTATGTACCAGTGTATCATGAAGTACACGGGTGGTATATTTTTGTCTGTAGTATATTGTACAATATTTATTAACGCCACTACCTAATTTTTAAACGAAAATGTAATTTATCAGAACAAGATAAAATACAATAAAATATCTACATTGTTAAGTTTAACACTTAATTGTATTACCTTTTGGAAGCAACGATACTTTTTATGTAAGGGGGATGAGAGTTATTTAAATATGTTGTACTCCTTGTATGATATTCCTATAGTCTCTAAAGGATAGAGTTAAGGTTATCTTTATCCCCGATATAAAAGTAAATTAAATAATAAAGCTTAATTTGCCGGTAAAATTATATCTTACGAATATTTAATATTAACAGTAAAATATAATAGGTAACTAATGAGTATTAAATTATTACTAACTTTAGATTATGAATTAATAATTAACATATTATAGTTAGTTATTAATACTTATTAATAATTGTTTGAAAAATTATTTTAGTTGGCTATTTTAAGCAAATGTATTTTTTTTACATTACCATTAATTTTGGTTAATATTTTTATTACATATTTTTGGAATCCTTTTTTGAAGTAGTACAACAACTTGAAAAATTCAAAAGCTGTAGGTGTTTTATTCTACTTTATATACATTTATTTATTATAAAATTTTGGTTTTTTAAACAGCGTAATTTAAGTTTTTTTTTGAAAATAATAACAAAAACTTGTAAAAAAAAATAGTTAAATATTTTAAATTTAAATATTATAAGTGATAACTCTTCAAAATAAAACATTGTTATATTCTTGTTTTTTGGAGCGATCACCCATCCTAATACATTTACTCGATGTTGCTTAAGTGATTTTAAGACTTTAAGAGTAGTTTAGATGTATTATGTACGTTGGTAGGAGAGAATCGTTGGTTGTAAATATTTCAACATGAACTGTAAATATATTTTAAGATTTTTTTATAATATGCATTTTTTTACTTTTTGAAATTTTAAAAATTAAATCAAAGCTGTTAAAAATGTAAGCCTTTACAGGAGTTTAATTTTTAATACAATATTATAATAATTCATAATTTCGTTTCAACCCGATCCGGGGTTGTAGAAATGGGCGGGCGTTTCGTCGACGTAGTACGCTAGACTCTTCGTCGACTACCGAGGCTGTACAACTAACGCGCACGGTACTTAGAAATATCCACGGTTTCAGTGTGCTCGGCGTTTTCGACTCGTTCGCCCGATTTTCGAGTTTCGCGTGTGCGTAGTTCGTGAATTTCAACTTTATCGTAATTTTGTTTTACGTTTTGCTTATTATTTTTACATGTTATACAAAATGGTGTGTATGCATATTTAATAAATATAAGTGTCATAAAAAACTATTATTTGTAATAAGTTATTAGTTGTTTGTTATATTTTATGGGGATAAAATTAAAGTATATATTTATATTTTGTAAAACATATGCATGTGCATATTAATTATTATGTAAACCAAAGTTTACGTTTTTTAAAAAAAATTTTTTTTTTTTGTAGAAACATTTTTAATTATTTTATTTTTTTAAATAGGTACTCACATGTCTTAATATTTTATTATATACAACAATTTCAATCGAAAACATGCAAATAGAATTTACCATATATTTATATACAAAAATAAAATAAAATATTTACCATTAGTTTTTACTTTTTATAGAAGCTAGTAATACAACACAAGGCATAATTTACTGCTTATCAAAGTACATTAAAAAATACATTTATATATGTGTGTGTGTGTGTGTGTGTGTGTGTGTGTGTGTGTGTGTGTGTTACGGTGTATGTCCGGTGTTGGTCAATGTAGACATACATAGCACGGTTTTGATCCATATTATAGTATAATTGTAATATGTACTTATTCATTTAAATTATGTTTATTTTGTTTTACAAAATTTGTTAATATATATTTATGGTATATCGGTGATAAATATTAAATTTTCTTTTTCACAATGAAAACTGATTTTTAGTGTATACATTTTTTTAAAAATTAATATGCAAATCAATGATACTCAATCTGTAACTGCGAAGAATGACAAAAGCATGTTAGATGGCAGTATAATGAGCGAAACCTTTATCGATATAAAAATATGATATAATAAAAGTTGCTGGGTACGGTAATAAAATATTTTATCAAAATTGCCTACAATTATGTATTATTAATGGTTATTATGATACTGACTTACCCATCATCCCAAGATTACAATTAAATAAAAAAATTTCGATATTACTAATACTTAAAAAAATGGCTAAAAATATTTATTATTAGTACAAAATTAATCAATACATTAACATTCATCAATTGCGAACATTTACAATAACATATACATCATATTAATAGGTATTTTCAACATTAGAATTCAAATATAATTTTTTTCTAATTAAAATTTATTCATTGACAAAAAAAAAATTAAAATTAAAATGCTTTGATATGCTTTATATTATTTAAAAGGTTTTTGTTAGGTACGTATTATTTCGAAAAAAATGTTTGTTTAATTTGAACTCTAAAAAAATAGCAAAAATCACTTATTTGGTAATTGTAAATTACACAGTAATAGTAAATTGCGTCTAAAAGTGTTCAGAAGAAAATATTTTTATAAGAAGTGTACTATATAATTATTTTGATATTATGTCCATTATTTAACTACGGTCATAATAACTAGATATGGACATATGGCGGCATTTTAATGTATGATCTATCTAAAGATTTTTGTTGTTACATGTGATTTATATGATTAATATTTTCTACATTACGTTTACATAAGTTATCATAGTTATTATTTCATTAGTTTTAATTAAATAATTTTAGTTAATTAATAATTTGATTTATTATACCTATATAAAAATAATCAATTGCCAAAAAATTATAACAAAATGATAATATTAGTAAGGGTACATTATTAAATATATATTACAAAATATTATTTGGACAATAAGTCTCTGGTGATTGAAACTAAAAATTAAAAACTATGATATATTTTATTAATATTTATCTTTTTATAATTCTAATTTCTAATAAAAATAAATATGACTATAACTATCTTTTAATTACTGAATGTTTTCTACTTGTTCTGAAGGAATGCTTTGTATATATATATTCCTTACAGTGTATAGGATTTCTTATTTATTGTTTATAGAGATGAAAATCTAAAAGTGGAGTTGCACCGTTTGTTTTTTTTTTCAGTAATACTTTTTAAATATCCCCAAAGGGCAAAATACTCTTGATGGTTTGCGTATGTACTACAGCTATGTGAATCGACAAACTTTTCGCTGTGATTTACTGTCACACGAATTATAATTTTGCAATGTAGAATAAGTCTTCCATAGATGGCTGCAGTTTATAGTTACAAAATTTCTCGCGAAGTCATGATAATAAGCATAGAGATGTATTCAGAAATGTAGCTCTCGAATGCTAATATTTTTCCGCCTCCCCTGCCCTAAGAATTATGTTTTTTTTTTTTTTATATAAATTTTAAATCAAATGATATGAGAGAACACTTTTAATTTTATCGAAGGCGGACCACTAAAAATATCATTGACAAAAAAAAAAAAAAAAATGTAAACCAATTTACATATTTATTTATTAACAGAAGAATAGGCCATGTCAAATAATGTTGTCCTTAAAAGTTTGCTGCCAGGGCGATCGCTGATAGTCCCCGGCCTAATACATCCATGAATAGGCAGTAATATTTGACGATTTTATTTTGAAACAATAAAATATTTGTTTTAAAATGTTTCTACTGCGACAACACAATTTGAATATCTATGGGTTTTAAACATGATTTTCACAATTTATTTTACTTAAAAATCACCACTGATGACCGAATCTATTTTCATTTATGATATAGCAGAAAAAAAGCATGCAAATATATTAGATTTATAGTCTTAATTATTAATTTTTTTAGTTACGTTATTTTCTGGGTCTTCAAGCCATAAGCATTAACTTTACTATGGTACTTATGTTACCCGTATGGACACTATACTACTACCACTGGTCTAAATACTAGTATTTTGCACAAGCACAATACAGTTCTTTACTTATTTATGTACCAAGTAGCCGGTAAATAATTGGCACTGTACCACAAACCATTTGCTTATAGGTAGATTACATGAAACAATACCACCCTAGACACCTACTATTAATTAAATACTAGTCTCTGTTTTAGTTTCTTTAGATTTATTGATAGAGAGTTTTATAGGTTTTATTATTTTTAGTTTATCAATTAAATATGAAACTAAAATTATTATTTTAAAACATATAAATCATAAAAATAATAATTAAAAAAAATGTATGTAAATTATTTTTAATCGTGGAATTATATTTTTTGTTGATTGCATATTTAGCTTTGTATATTCAATGGGTACTAGCACAGTACGTAAATTAATATATAATTAGCAAAATCTATAAGAAATCGTGTGCGCAAATTACATTTGCTTTCGCTTTCTGTTATTTTTAGATCTATTGCAAAATGATTTTAACTATTTCTATATTTATTACAGCTATGAGTCAATTGTATGATTACCTATACTTAATAGTTAAGTGTTTAAAATTTAAGTAGATACGCAAAACTAAGAAAATGGTTATTGTAATTAATAATTATTTTTAAAATTGACTTATATTTTAAGTTATCCATCAACCACAATATATCTTATAGGTATATTTTTATCCTATGAAAACGACATGATAAAATATTTAGTTGTAACTTAAAATTAAAAACATTAGTGGCAAATACAATTAAGAATCAACTAAATTATAGTGTATAATTACAACGTTAATTTACAAATGTACAAATTGAACATGCACTATCTTGAAATGTTTTTTTTTTATATTTGAAATGTTGAAATTTGTGATTTATAGATCTTAAAGTTGTGTAAATTACAATATTAAAGTTGTATATTAATTTTAAACATAAAAAAAGATTTATTCTGATTCATTGTATCTACCAATATGACATTTATGTTATTGAATCATAAATACGTCATTTTAATGTTGTTTAATGTATAATTTTATGCTACTTCATTAATTGAAATGCACATAAATATTAAACTCTACTACGAGTAAATTTGCATAGCATAACTGTAAATGAAATTTAATAGTAAATAACGAAATAACTTACCTGGATAATCAAAAAGTGCCTAGAAAATTAAAGTTTACCATTTATTTTTATATATCTACTGTTCAAAACTTAACACCACAGGTCTATTATAAAATTTGTTCAACTAAGTATAGACATTTAAAAAATATGTTAATATAGTTCTGACAATATAAAGGACATCTTTAATTATTCGATTAATTAACTATTCAATTATTTTTGCAAAGTTATTGACAAAAACATACTAAGTAATAGATTAACTGTGACTAATATCCCATCACTGTCTCACTAAATTAAAAAAATCAGAAAAGTTGTACATTTTTTTAATGCTTAAAGCACTGATTAATTCAGTATATTATTGAAGTGGTGGATTTGATCTACCACTTTAGAAAGAAACCCTATTTTTATTTTACTCAAAGTTTTGTTTTATTTTTAATCCTCCTATTCATACTTAACATCTAATAAACTTAAGCATTTTTTTTTTTAAATTCTAAAAACTTATAATTAGGGACTAGATTTATATGCAAATGCATATATGTATTGGAATACGATTTTTAAAATCTGATGAGAATTTTCCCCGATTTAGATCATTCTTTTTAAAATAACATTAATTGTATTTTGCACATTTTATATATTTCAACGGTTTTACCTATTAAATGGATATTTAATGCATATTAATAGTTTTATAGTGCATATTATTATTTATAGCACATATATTTGTATTTCGTCTTATTTTCTCGTCCACAGCCACATCGATAAAATTACGACTGGTCTTTATTGCCAAAGATAAGATAATATACTCTTATGCAACATAATATGTATAATATATTAATATAGATTAATTTTTGTTTTAATTTTTTATTGGTGTGGGCTAATATTTTATGGATTGAAGATAAAGAATGTTAAATGGTGAATATGACAAAATACTTTTTCATACTTTCAAAACATTTTTATACCTTTTTTAATATTTAATTAATTATTACTTATTTTTTACATAATTTTAAATAAAATATTTTCAATTAAATTTTTAGTGCATATTTTGTAACATATTACAGAATTTTTAGAAGCATATTTTGAGAATTTTTTTGTGTATATAAATCCGGTCCTTACTTATAATTGAAGTTATTTTATGAACATATAAATTGATAATTTTTTAAAATTTAAATATTTTCTTTTAATATGTAAATTATAAACATATTTAAGTTATTAATATGTTTTTATATTATTATAAAGTGATGAAACAATTTCCTAGTTGTACATTTTTAAATTTTATTATTTTTAATATATATTTATTAGGTTTATCTATAATTTTATTAAAATACTGAATATAATAGACATTCAATATATTCGTTAATGTATTGGACATATTTACGATTTTTAAAAATTCTACATATTGTTACTTGTTTTGAACAAAAGATTTTATTCGATATTGATTGTAAAATAAATTAATTTATCAGATGTTTGAGAAATTCTATAATACTTGTAAACATGTGTATTGTATATATTCAATTACTATAAATAAAATTTACATATACTTTAGAAGTTTTTAAAGTAAATAGAAAATTTGATTTTAGCATGTATGCATGCAATACAAATTCTTTATAAAGAAGATAGGTTTAATGGTAAGAAGTAGTAATTGACTTCCAAATACATGTTCAAAAACTGTTATCATTAATTTTAACTTATAAATAATATGAACATTGATTATAGCGTTGTAAAAACATCACACATTATGAATTATTCACTAAAAATAGTCCATACTGAACATTGATTAATTTAAAAACAAAAACTGTAGTACGATATAATAAAATCTAAGTAAAATGTATAGTTAGTTTATTTATAAGTTATCATTATCACTTATTTATAGTTAAATGTTGATTTTAATTTGCATAACTGTGTAGCACACATTATGTATATTATTCATACAGATAATATTTTTATGAATATAAAAGTGTAGTTATTAAAAAAACCGAAAAGGATTCAGAGATTAGATGATGCTGGAGATTTTTCTCGCTTTGTTAAATTCAATGTTGGTAAATTAATTTTATAAATTTGAATGTAACGATAAATTATTGCAATTTAAAAACCCAATTTTAAATAGTTTTCTTTATTTTAACTGTCTATACAAGATTATTTGAATATTTTAAGTTAGGTATTAATGATAATCAACGATCAAAGATTTGAAATATTTATAGTTTAAAGTTTCAACTAAATAATAAATTTAATATAAAGTATATTAATGTTAAAACCTAAAAATACCTAAAATAATAATAATATATATCATTATATTATTATTAAAGTTGTATAATTTTAGTTAGGTATAAAATTGATATTTGTTTTCGCTTTTTTTAAAAACAATTTACTGTTAACAAATAAAAAAAATAATAAGAATGAGTTTAAAATCGTTTTGAATTGCAATCTATTAGTTAATTAGCTTTTGTTAAATATACGTGTTATAAATGGGTAGGTAGCGTAAAGCAGTTTCATATTGCCGTTGAAAAAAAATATTTTGAAAACATTATTTTTTAAACCAATAATATGATGGTATTGATTTTTTATTGAAACTTTATGCTTGAACTGAGACTTTTTCATTATTACTTTATGAAATTTTATTCATTTATTAGTATGCGTAATACGTCGTGAGTAAATTAGTAAGACACTGCTAATATAATGTATAATAAATAACTTGATCGGGTAATAGACTTATTTTTTTTATTGATATGTATTGCTATATTAAAATCATAAAATGTTCTTTTGTTATTAGAAAGAGCAATTTTAGAAATTCTTAAAGATATTATAAATGTATCTAATATATTTTTAACATTTCTAATTTATATTCATTGTTTACGGTTTTAGTTATATAATTTGTTAAATTAGATGATCACGAAAGCATTATGATTATTAAATTATATAGCTGCCAACTTCATTGTTTTGATTATATATTATTATGTATGTTTAAGTAGTAAAATGCATTTTTGTATGTATTTTGATTAAAATTATATTTTAATTATTATTTAAGTTATAAAATACTTATAAATTATTAATTATGTTTAGTTGTTTTTTCATATCAGTTTTGTTAAAATATTTTATTCTTTTATATAATATTACGTTTGTAATTTCAACTGGGAATTGGATGTAACTTAAAGAGAATTTTTTTTTTTTTTGTATCAAAAAGTAACCAAATAAAACTAAAAAAGTAACACATTTTAATGTCAATCAATAACTTAAAATTATTAATCTATATACTTTAAAAATTTCATTTACAATTTTTTTAATATAAATATTTGAGAACATTTCAAGTTTCTTTAAATTTATTTTATATTTACTCTATTTTTGATATGCAATATAAATTAAATACATTTTTTTTTTGAAAACTTATGTTGTATTAATATTACCGTTTTCGTTAGTTTTCCGGATTTTAAAAAAAAGTACTGAAGTTTTTCTGTTTGTGATTATGATTCATATCATAATTTTATTATTAACTGCATTTATAAAAATATTCAGTTATAATTTAATTTAAAATTTAAATATTTTTTATATTTATTGATGTTAAAGATCGCTTTCTAACGAGGTAGATTGTGTTCAAACACATGTATCCCAATAAAAGTGCTTAAAATGACCTTAATATTTTGTTTACATATGTATAGTATGTTTGGTTTTTATAGGGTATTTATCTAAAAATTTTTTGAAATAGTAGGTATAATTATTATTTATATATTGTTATAATTATGAAAGTGTTATAATTTATAAAAGTAATGTTAAATAAAATGTTTTACGTGTTTATGATTGTCTCAATCCAGATATTATAAGATTATTTAGTTGTTATCTTAATATATAGATAGGAATATATATTTTTTTATTAGATGAACCTGCGCTGATAATGACCATTGGGTGATAGTTAAGATATTATACAAATTGTGATAATGATATTTATAGAAAACTTAAATACTAGTTAAAAATACAGTACATAGGAGTTAATCATGTTAAATTGAATCGAGCAGATTCGCGGTAGTATTAAATTTGATTGAGGTGGTATTATTTATAAAACTTCAAAGGTTTATGTTTTGATTACAAAACTTTTTTATCGCTTTTTAACTATATTTTTCATAGTATTGTTTTTATTATGATAATTCATAGTTAAAACTAAAAATATATCAAACTCTTGTTAAACTAGAATTATAATCTTCTAAATCCATGATAGTGGTTACTTTAACTATACATACTTCTGTATACGGCATTTAATATTTTTTGATCCATGTATATTTATGTATAAAGAAAATTGGCTTTAACATTTTTAAATTTAAATTTTGTGCCTATGCATCTTCTTTAAAGATTTTGTTCCAATAGTATATCATAAAACATTTAATTACTTGTTTTAATTTAGTTTTAATATTCATCCTTAATATTACTCGTATTTTGTTTCTAATACAAGTTCTTTACTAATATGTCAATTTTTATAATTTATTTACTATTTCTATAAAGACAATTTTAGTTATAATTTTAAAAACTAATAATTAATAAAAATATTGTTTCTTGTTTTAAAAATTATATTATGTTTATGGTAATAATGTAATTTGTTTAGATTTCTTTACCACAATGGCTGTTGTTTTCAATTCTCAAAATAATAAATATATAAAAATATCTTTCTAGAATACATTAGGTACATACATTTAATAAACTGTTACAGAAACGATTTTTATATGTTTTTAAAGTTTTAATTTAAAATATTTTAGTTACCTATTTGGCACCTCTTTCATAACCCTGAATTAATAATATCCATTGATATAATTATACATTAATATTGAATAGTTATTTTTCTAGTAATGGCTTTATAAATTACAATATATTTTGAATAGTTGACTACACTATATTCTTTAAAGTTCTAAGTTTATAATTTTCAATTTATTTTGTTTAAGGAATAACTGAAATTCAAATTGATGATGAATTTCACTACTACGAATAACGTGAGTATAAAATAAATAAATAGTTTAAAAATTTAAATAATTATGTTTATTGTTCAAATTAAATATCTTTTTAGGTGTTTTATTTTATCTTATAATTTATAAATGAAAATTACAGTGGAACCTCGATAACTCGAACTTCTATAAGTCGAATTTTTGATAACTATAAAGAATGTCTTGGCCCCTACTTTATAACATATCATATGTGTAACCTCTGTAAGTCGAATTTTTGATAACTTGAATTTTTTTTCGCCCCCAACCGATTCGAGTTATCGAGGTTCCACTGTAATTACGTATTTTTAAATTGATAAATTAATTATATTATATATTTGTATTCACTAGTGGGTTATGGTAAACGATGTAGTATATTAATTTTAAATTTTATCATTTTATGTATACAAAATAGTTTTGAATGAATAGATGTACTGCACTTAACATAATATTATGTAAATATTTTTATTACTCATGAAGTATATTATATGTTCATTTCTATAAAAAATTATGTTTATTTTTTTATACACTAATACAATTTTTTTGGAAAAAATCTATTTAGACTTGTCCAACGGAAAAAGTACTAAATCCTGGTTGGTGTCCTAGTCATTGGGATCTATTGTTATGTTGGAAAGCTTCGAAACCTGGTACTGTAGTTTACCAAGCATGTTTTGATGAATTGAATGGAATGCGTTATGATACATCACGTAAGTAATATTATTTAGTTTTATCTTATTAGATATAATATAGTACAGTTGAAATGAATTACATCAGAAATTTTGTATCCACCTTATAATTTAATTACATTTTGTTGTTAATTGTTTTATAACATTGTAATGATTTAAATGGACTTTCTTATTTATTAAAATTAAAATACATTAGAACAATACATTTATTTTTATTACCTTAATTTATTTTTTTTCCTATTAATAATTTGTATTTATTATATAAATAAATTAACGTTATATATTATTCAATTATTTAAATATATAGTTTAATGATACAATTATGACGAGGAAAATAATGTATAAGACTTATGTAGTTAGATTAAATTTTAAAACATTTATCTTATTTATAACTTTATAACCACGTAGGCACTTTTGTACTATACTGCTTAATATTCGTGAATAACTTAATTTTTATTTTTTCATATTGCTGTTTTGGCATCATCGTACATCAAAAAGTTAAAAGGTGGACGTGTGTCTTAATACAAATTGTAATGACTAATGACGCTGTGGTGCCGAACGCCAAAATGACGCACGGGTCTACCATGCGCATGCTTCGTGATATTGAGTTTTAAAAAATAAATATGTAGTTTACTATTAGATTTAATTTTGATTTATTTTAATGATGGATAATATATTTTCTAGTATGAAGTCAAACTTAGTGTAAATTTTGTGAGATAATTCTACTTTTACGTGCGATACCACTTTGCGCGTATATTTTATCAGAGATGTTCCTTAATATAACATTTTTGATTATAATTGTAGTAGTTTTATATTATAGCTTGTAAGATGATAGAAAAAAAAAATGTTACGTAATAATTATTTAAAATATACTTATCATATAATATAAACTGATAATGTTATTAATTGTTAAGTTTTTTAATTATTAATATTTTTTTCATGATTGAAATTATAGGAATTTTAGTGTATTAAGAAATTAAATTTTTTTTAGTTACAATTGATACTTTATAGGCTATGGCACATCATATAAAGTTATTTGATAACATTATTGTTCGCTTATTATAATACTCAAGGTGCATTATTATTTTTATAAAATTGAAATAATTATTGTAAATATTTGTTTTATTAAAAATCATTCAATATCGAAATAAATTTTTTTTTTTTTGATTAATTGATTTGATTAATGATTTTTTTAGCTGTTATAACATATACATTTCAGTTCATTTTTTTGCTGAAAAACTCTTAGTTTTTGAATTTTCATAGTTATAATTATATATAGAAGAAAATGAATAGACATATTATAATATCATTGGGCGTTACATTAAAGCTGCAATTTGGAAGTACAGGCATACAGCTATACTATTTATATCACTATATGGTAGTTTTTTTTACCAGGTAAGCACTGTAGACGTTTTTGTTAAACAGAAAAAAATGTATTTCTCGTTTTTGTTAAAATTAAACAGCTTATGAAAACATTACGTAGTGTAATAGAAAACATTGTCATTTTCGAAATGCCTTACTTTTTGTTTAAGTTTAGTGGTTGTAGAACATTTCCAATGCACACAAAAAATATCACACTGATCTACATTTTTTTTTTTAAATTAGATATATTTATGACAATCAATTAGTTATTTATTTACAATTAATTCATAATAGTGAAAAAATACATGAAAGGAAGTCATATAGTTTGCTGCGGAAGTGCGGCTGCTGTTTATCCGAATCAGGATACCGAACTAATATTTCGTTTTTAGTTAATTTGATTCGGCGATCGTAATGAAGATAAAACAAATCTGTTTATTTTTTACCTAAATATTTATTTAAGTTAAACGAAACGCTGAATTCAGTATATATAGAAATATAATTTTGTATTGATGTAATATGAATAGCTAAGTCGTTATAATTGTTTTAATATCACATATTTTAAATATTTGTAATAATAATAATAAAAAAAAAAAAAAAAAATAATGGTACGTTGTAGGCATTGAAGGTTCATACACGTTTATAGGTTACACGAGAATACACGAGAACTACTATATGTCTGTGACGTGGTGAGAATAACAGTAGGAAACGGAGTGAGTGATCGACTTCTGCCGCCGACAGTATGTGGTACGCAATGCGATCACTCGTCTCACTTTGTGCTGTATTTAAATATGACGGGGAGTCGACAGGTGACTTCGTTGTGTCTTATCGTGGTGGTTGAAAATTGTTAGACAGGTCATTATAGTGCTTATACATTGAAACTATGAATACTTAAAACTATTGCGGACCGTGTCAACTTAAGACAACTGATTATTTCAAATTAATTAAATTGTCATGGCATGGCACTGTTTCTATTCGAGTCAACTTTGAGGAATTCCAGAAAGTATGTTTGAAGCTAGATGACTTATTACATATGATGTATCAGCTGATTGACATTTTAATGGAGTTTTACATTGAAGTATTTGATAACAAATGTAAAAGTTTGATTGATTCTATAGAATTTGATATATAATCTTAGATATTCTTATGCGATTATCCAGGATGCTCAAGCAATTAAACAAATTCAGATTTTTTTGAAGAATTGAAAGCTTTTTTATTAGAATTCTAAGCGGAATCTTAGTGTTTATGGTATATTATGTAATAAGCATATAGTAGTTATGGAAAAGTCTTAGTTGAAAGAAAAGCTTAAGAGATAATAGAATTTCCATGTGGTTTTAACAGGAGAAGTTTTCGATTAAGTTTCTTAAGTTTCTTGCATTAATTTTTAAAATAAGAGATTAGGTAGTAAGTTAATTTTTATCCAGTATTTGGCTATACTATTTAATTACAGTTGAGTGAAGAATGATGGTGTTTTTAATTTTTGTGGTGTCTTAGTGTGAAAGCAAAAAATGAAAATTTTGATTTGTTAATTTGTATTTTATAGTTATTAAACCATTGAAAAAGAGTGTCCCGTTGAGAATTAAATTGAAAAATTGTGGGTGAAATAATTTACAGCAGTTGATAGTAGGGCAATACTGTTTGCCTAAATTTTAAGGATTGAACTATTTTCTGATATGAAATCTAGAAAGTATACAAGAAAAGAGCAATACCTACCACTATTAGAAATACATTAGAAATAGATAATTGTAATAGCGTCTGCAGTGGGTTTCTGGTAAGTAAAGTTTTCCACTTTTTACCAATGTTTGTATGAAGTATATTTTTATAGTTAATGTTAAAACTATGTATTGCCCTTTCTCCAGTTTCCGTAGGCATTCTCGAATAATTGTTTTGAGTATCTATTACTGCAGGTTGTGATAAATTTTAAAGGAGCGATTGTTTAGACAAGATTTTTGTATGAGATAACTTGATTTTATACTTGCGTTATAATATTAAACAACACACAAAATATAAATATAGTTTATTTGTAAATATGGTTGAAATTATTATTGTGATCACTGAGTTATCGTCAGTCGTCTTACGCGGTGACGTATTCTAACACGTGATAATAAATATTATTATATTATTATTTGTATGAATATTATTAGTGCATAAGTATATATAGCGAAAATACCTTGTTAGTTTAGGCATCTAATATCTAAATAGTTTAAATTCTAACACGAATATTCCATGTTTGTTTATTAAATTGTACAAATACAAAAAACAAAACTGAGGAAGTTGTTTTGTTGTATACACTTTGTAATTGAAAAGATCATTTATTGTAATGTATGTCTTAAAACTTAAATTAATGATAAATTATTATTGCTAACAAAAATTATTCTGAGATGAAACAGCGTGTGTCATCTTCTATTTCCAAGCATATTATATAATAGGTATATTTAAATTACTATTGATGATTTTCATCGATTGCAATCCGGGAATTCATACTGTTTTATGCCATTTAATTTGTTTTATATAAATATAAGTATAATCAATAAATATATTATTGAGAATAATATAATATTTGTGATTAGTATTTATTGATATAAGTGTCAAACGGCTTTTGCATATAACAGTATAAAATTATACATAACATTAAGGTAATTGTTAAACATTAAATTACATAAGTGATGTAAATAACAAAAGTAAATATTAATTAAAAATAAAAACACAGTCAAATTACAAATATTGAAGGCCATATATCAACATTATTATTATTTAAACTGCGCATAGTTCTAATAAAATTATAATTTGATAAAAAAGTTTGAATAGAAAGTTAGGATGTAGAAAAACTCAGTGGATCTAGTATTGATAGTAGGAACTTTTAGGCTTATACGTTCAGGGAGCCGCGGAGCATAAATTTTACTCTGAATTAATTTTAATAGGAAGGTTTGATTGACCCTTAGTCGCCTGTCCTCAAGAGAGAAGAAATTAAGGGTTAAGTCCCCCAGTTCACCAAGAATGTTAGAAATAATACATTTTAGAAGAAAGCTATTCTGCACTCATTCAACTAGTTTTATTTCACTTATAAGATAAGGACTCTAAATTATTGACCTAACAAAAGTATTGAATGATGATTGAAGGATACCACAATTGATATTGGAAAATAAACGAAAGAAAAGCTTCACACTATTAGCAAAAATAAGTAAACGAACCGAAATTACATTGTTAAAGATTGAGTTAGTAAAAAGATTAAATAGTAGTGGGGATAAATGTCCACCTAGCGAGACATTGGAAGAAACCTTGAATTTATTTGATGAAATATTGAATAACCTAACATATTATTACCATCTGTCCATCAGATATGAATGAAACCATGACAAAAGAAGAAAACCAATACCCAGCCTATCCAGTGTGTATAATCAATAAATAAGAGAGGTATAATCAATAAAATCAAACGCTTTCGTGAAGTCGGCTCTATCTCTAAGAATATCGCAAATAAAAAAAGAAAAATTTAAAGAACTAATTATTGTGGAATGACCAGGGGAAAAAGCCACGCTGGTCCATTAACAATGTAAAGTGAAGAGCACGTTCAATGTTTTTAAGCACTATGAGTTCAAAGGGCTTACCATTAAAAAAGATTTTATACTGGTCTATAATGTATGACTTAAGTAGGATCGTCAGATTTTAAAATCGGTGTACCTAATACGTATTAGTTTCATGATATAATTGTTTAAGCTTTAAAAAATTTGGTAATTTACACTAAATAATTATAATACAAGTCATAGAAATTACATATTTTTATTTAACTCTTAAATTTTTATTAATTTTCTTGCAATAAAAACGGGGAAAATGTTGAAATTCATCAATTTAAATTATTAGTTTTTATAACGTTTTTGTAAAGTTATTTTTATATATAAATTACTGATCATATAATTTTTTTTTACTATGATTATCTGATTTTAAATACTTTGTTATTTTAATTTCACAGAAATTAATTTAAAATAGGATATTTGATTTATTTTATGATAAATTGTTGTATGTACATTTAGTTGGAGTAATAAAATTCTATTATTTTTCACAGAAAATGCTAGTCGCCGTTGTAAATCGAATGGTGTTTGGGAAAATTCTTCCGATTATATGAATTGCCGACCTTTGGATACAAATAATCCATTATATCCAGATCCATCGATTGTATACACATCATACTTTTATTACGGTGGTTATACTATATCATTAGTGGCATTGGTGGCAGCTGTTTCCATATTTGTTTACTTCAAGTAAGTCTATTAAGTGACAAAATGAAAAATGTATTAAAAAACTTAATTAATAATTAAGAAAAAAAAATATAATAATTATCAATTATTTTTTTTTTTTTATAAATTACGTAAAACTAAATATAGGATAATGTTGTGTATCCTATAATAATAAACTAGCAGAACTAAAAAGTGCTGGTAAATTATATATATATATATATTTTTTTTTTTTTACTGCACTAAAATTTTTTATTGAAAAAATAATTTTTAGAACTAAATTGCTTCATTGATTTCATCCATGTGGTTCAAATCTAAAATAAATGTTATCTAGGTATGTATCAAAGTATAGTGCGAGTTACTTTGTTTAATTTAGATCCTGTCTAGAACTCATAATGTATTGATTTTACAATAAACATTTTTGTTTCGAAAAACATGAACATTTTTATGTGATTTTTAAACTTGGAGTCTAGAAATACATTTAGTAACATTATAGATTAAAATGTGGATAAATAAATTATTTTTAAATTTTTGTTTATCAAATTTTCAAAGTGCTTTTCTTTTTTTTAAATCATAAAAAATTGAAAAGTTAAAGTTAAGTATACTTATTTTAAGAATTTTAAGATAAATTCTAACGATTCATGGATCATTCAAAATCCACACTAAGTCGTTATTCGAATACTATGATTTATCATTGCTTTTAAATTTAAAGATTTTCGCTCCAGTAGTCCATCTTACTCACTCTCGTATCTTATCAGAATTTTTTATTTATTTATTTAAATTTATTTTTCACAGCATTGAAGAAGGCTACAAATGTATGGTTGTGATTTTATTTTATTGTTGACCAATTTTATTTTGGTTATTGTAAGTGTTTTTATGTTATTTAAATTGTAATATTGTATCAATTATAATATATATAATATTAGTTTGTTCTTACTCGTATACTTACACATTGACTATTGACCACCTAAATAATAACTAAATAATTATTTAATTTATTATTTTTGAATTTCTTGCTACTATGAATGTTCGTGTAAGTTTTGATTTATACTAACTTTACAATATAAGATATTTATTAATTATAAAATAGCAATGGTTAGGTTATAAGTGCTCGTATTTAGTACAAACATTTATTGTACAATGTTTCTTTGTAAGTAGTTGAGTATGGCATATGAGTCTTGGATTCAAAATGCAATTTCAAAATTTAGTTGAAAAGTTTCTCATTAAAAAATATTTTTTAAATCCCCGTTATAAAATTATGAAATTTTAATGCGTGAGATTTATTTATTTATTTTCGTTGTTTAGGTAAGTATTTTACAGTCTACCTGCGTTTTCTGTATTAGATTGAAATATGTGATTATGTTCTAAAAATTAACTTGGCAAATGATTCTGTTTTATATTTGTATTTTCGAAAGTTTAACCGTATCAGCTAAAAACAACAATACCTTGTAGTTTAGTTGTATTTTGTTTAGCTTAAAAAATGCTGAGAGCGTATAAATGGAATCTTGTATCTAATATTTTAATACTGCTTCAAAAATACCTTTGTGTTATAAAGAAATGGATTTTTTAAACTTCAAAGGTATAGCTTTTCTACTCTTTTTTTTTTTTTTTTTTTTTGATTACATACGAGTACATGCACCATTAAAACAGCCTTCTAAGCTATTTTTGTTTTGATGAATATTTCTATTAAACAAATGAATAACCATAGTTTTACGATTTATATCAATCAACCGAATATTTAAACAATGACACTGATCAGTTGCTTAAAATAATACAAATAATATGATATAGCGGTAAAATATACATTTAAAAAATATATACTATACATTATTTTAACTGTGTAAAATAGCTTTATAACTATTTGAACTTCGAGAATATTGATACAATACGATGAGATTTATAACTTATAGCCTATAGGTAGCCAGGTTTTAGGCTCATGCATATTTTAGAAATATTTTCTGTAACTATTTGAGTTATTTATGTCAATAATAATTAAATACGAAAAAAAAATTGTATTATTTTATTATTATTTAAATTAAATTTCTACCGAGTGAATTGTTCACAAAGTTTATTTTTTGTCCACTTCTCATTACCACATATTATTTTATAAATTTAACTATATACTATAGTTAAAAGAATTTAGAAACTTAAATTATATTTAACATGTATTTATGTATGAATAAAAAATATTAATTTTTTCAGAGATTTACGGTGCTTAAGAAACACAATCCACACAAATTTGATGTGCACTTATATTCTATCTGACTTTACATGGATATTGACATCAACCCTACAGGTTTGTAAATAATTTACTAAACAAAAATTTTCATTAGTTGTGTTTTTAATATTTCGTAACAAGTTATTCATTTATAATTTTTGATTTAGAAAGTCAAAATGTTTAACTGGACTATATAAGAAAATGTGTTTAATATTATCAAATCGAATGTTCAATTGCTATCAGCCTAGATATTTAAAATCAATAAAAACATAACTAAGAAAATTTTTAAATGAAAAAAATTGTAAAAGTTAATAACTTACAAAGTTAAAGTTGTATATATAATAATAATAATAATAATAATAATAATTTTAATATTTACAATTTTCAATAATATTGATTCGTTATTTTTAAATTTTAATTTTTTAAATATTTCAAATTAATTTATAAAATTTAATTAATTATTATTTATTAATCATATTACAGTTTTTTTCTCTGTAAAATATTCTTAATTGATATTGAATTACTGAACCTGATATTATTTAAACACATTCATAAAAGATTTGGTGCATACAAAAATAAAAAAAATAACCATTAATATGTTGATTCAAAAAAAAAAAAAAATTGATTAAATAAAAAATACATTTATATTTTTGTTTTAGGAATGGCTTTCATCTAGTAATAACGCTTGTGTGTTGTTTACATTTTCGTTACATTATTTTGTTTTAACAAATTTCTTTTGGATGTTTGTTGAAGGTAAGGATTACATGAAACCTTTGAATGGAAATTTTAATTGTTTTATAAATGCTTTTTTATTTAAACATTTGTTTAGGCTTGTACCTGTATATTTTGGTTGTAGAAACTTTCACCAGGGAAAATATCAAGCTTCGCGTTTATATGTTTATTGGCTGGGGTAAGTTTTATACTTTTTTATTTGTATATTAAATAAAAATAAAAAATAAAAATACAATTATATTATAATTTTTATTAAATTAATTTATTTTTAAGCGTATTATATTATTATTATTAAATTAAAAAATTTTCAGTGTATCAATTAATACTTACACTATAATTTTGGGTCGAAATTAAGTTATGTTTCATTTCATTATAATTACAATTCTAATTATAAAATGGAAGAATATGAAAATGACTATTAAAAATCAAGCTTCTTAATTTATAAAATAAAACCTATAACTCACAATAATATAATGCTATAGATATCTTTCGAATTTCATTAATTGAGTTTGACAATTAAAAGTTTTCGAAACACGCTATTTCAATATTATATTAGCAATTATTTTATGTAATTAAATTATATGTATAACTTTGTTAAATTATGCATAAGTAATGTTAATATTTAATTTTTTAACAAAATCTGAGAATCAATGTCCTTGATTAGATTTTTGGTTGTAATTTTATAGATAAAAACAGTACGAATAAAGACGTTTTTTACACTTAATGCTTAGAAATACATGAATATTATAAGTTTTTACTTATAAATTAATTTAATTTTCATAAAATATGTGACTCGTGATGTTTCTGCAATTATCGATTCATTTGTACGAGTACAATATAAGAATTTAACTGAATAACTAAAATTGTCCGTAAGCTTTTTAAATACTTCTAGTCCTCATAATGTGTATTAGAAAATTATTTATTATATTATACATAAATATAATATATATAATTTGTTTATTCCAATTTTAATTAATAGTATAATTTATTATATTTAAAATACTATTATTAGCGATGAAGATAGATTGATAATAAATGGTTATGTTTTTGTTTCAAAAAACTGTTTGTAGTTCTGACTATTGTTATTATAAACTCAAAAACGCTGAGAAATTGATTAAATTAACATTTCAAAGGGTACAAAAAGTTTATAAAAGTAAACACATTCTTACAATTTCAGTATAAACACTAAAGAGTAAAATAAAATGCATTAAATATTAATTGTTACTCTTAAATTTAACGCTTAAAAAAAAATTTAATTAAAAATGGTTCATAATTTTACTTTGTTCATGCAAAAATGAATAAATAAATAAAATTCAATGTGATTTTGTTTTATTTGAAACTTTCAGTTATTTATTTATTTTCTGCTATAATAGTTTTTATTGTACGTTAAATTGATTCTTTATATTTTTTTGGTTTAAATATTTATTAACAGTTATTCTCATTAATAGATTATTTTATTAGAGTGAATTGAAAAAAAAATATGGAAAATAAAACATAAAACTAAAGAGGACGATCTCATTGAAAGATTTTATTTAATCCTATTTGAATTAATTGATAAACACATTACCAACATAAGATTGTAATAATTTTACATTCTAAATTAAAGTTCGGAATGAAATTTTTTATAATAACGGATTGCTACATCGTTAACTGTTAGGTAGGTATTGTAGATCGTTATGTAGAGTATTGTTGATTATATACAATGTGGTTTCAGTGATTTGTCTAAGACATTTAGATTTAAATACTTGGTTTAGTATTATGTTCGAGCAGGGTTTGGCTTAGCTTCAGATTTGAATACCATGTGATCAGAGGAAAACTGTTTTTTTTTTTTTATATGTTGATCTAAGTTAGTTTATTGTCCAAAAATATTCTTAAGTATTTTGGTTATATTTTTTATTAGTACAGATATGCTATTGAGAGACCACATTATTTAGAAAAATAACTAAAATAATTTTGGCGTTCAGAGCTTTTGGAGTTCAAAACAGATTTGTATCTGAACGTTTTGTATTTATCAGCTTGTAAAATTATTATAGGTGCCTAAATATAATCAGCAATATGATGTGGCATTTCAAATAATCTGAGTAAGTAGGTATTTATGTAATATTGTAAGAGTTAATATTTCATTTTATCAGCTTTTCATATTTGGGTGACGTTGTGGATTATGGTTTGATTTATAGTGCGTAGGTTATAATTCATGATTTGAAAATTTAGTACCTAGTTAATTTTAACATTAGTGTTATTATAGTATAAACAATACACAAGAGTTATTATTGTTGTTGCAAAAATTGAGTTTATTTAGCTCATATTTCATATTAAATAATATTTTATTCTAAAAAGTATAAAAGTTTTCATTTATGAATTACAATTGAGAATATTCTATATTCAATAAACCTTTAAAATTAATTTGTGATGTATTAACGTGCGACTGTTCTCGTGTATGTAATTCTCGGTCCTAAACTCCTAAGCTACTTATTTTTGGAAAATAGACAACTTTATCTAAAGTGTACTGTGACTTTTAATCAGTGTTGAGTAGGTTATTTAACTTGTTACTAAGATATTATAATAAGAAAATTAATTTACTGGTTATTTAAATAAAACTGTAATAAAATTACTTTCATTTTATGCAATTTGAAGTGACTTTATGTAATTTTTATGTTAGAAAAAAAAAATAAACAGTTTACATGTATTTCTTTAATTTATTTTAACATCCGTCAATTGATAAACTATTTAGGAGTTATATAGGTGACTAAAAAAATAAGTTAAACATTAAAAAATAAATAATCAGTTTAAAACATAAACATATAACATATAATTATTATTAATTTTAACTAGTAAAATTTGAACATGCATTACAAATGTTTTTTTGCTATGTTTAATTTTTAAAAAAAATCTTACATATTTTAAACCTTCAATAAACTAATAACTTATACTTTTTACTGCGTTATATATACTTCTTTTTATATACACATATATGTATAGTTTTTTTGGAAAGTTTTTCTTAGCTTAGTTTATGTTTAATTTTTTCGAATGAACATGTACTGTCAAATAGAATATAAAATTTATTATTAAAAATAGATTTGACAAGATTTTAGGTTTTCGTATAATAAAGCTAAGTTAGTAATTTTTGAATAAAAATTTGAAATCATGAAAAATATTAAAATTATTGCGACAAAGCTTTTTTTTGAATATTTTTAAAATTACCTATTTTATTTCTAGGTACATAATGTTTGATGATTTAAATGTTATTCTGAAATACTCATGATTAGTAAATATTAACTTGGAACTTATTTTAAAAGATGCAATTATATATACTTACCACATAAGTGTATTATTTTATATCAAACTGTAATCAAAAATATTTAACGAATTTTCATATTACATAACATCGTTATATTATTTTATGATATTTTGTTATATTCTTTTTTCTTATAATTTTGTTGGAATGTTAATTTTGCATTACTATTAATTTAAAACTGGTTATTAAGTTAGATAATATAAATTTAAGTATATAAAATAAACATTTATTTATTTAAAAATGTATTTGCTAAGTATTAAAAATATAAATAATTATTATTATGTTACAGGTTTTCCACTTATAATTATAATTGTTTGGGGTGTTTCTAAGATCATCACACCAATTGAAATAGAGGTAAGCTCATTTTTTTTAATGAATTTTAAAAGTCAATTAAATATTATATAAATGAAAATTAATTAATATTTTTTGTCCTTTTAAAGTTTAACAATTAAGTTTTGAAAAGTCTTTTTTTATCTTACGTAACTTTTTAATCATTGGGACGGTAAAACATTGTTAACAAAACATTAAGTTGTGCATCACTTAAAATTTTCATTTTATGTGATGCAAATACATAGTATAATATATTTATAGTATTAATTTTTATTCAAATTTAAAAACAACAGAAAAACAGAAAAAACTGGGTCTTATAAAATATTGCTTCACAATATTTAACATAGTTTATAATAAATTTTTTTAACTAAAATATTTTGTATGCTTAGATTACAATTAACTGAGTTTTTGAGTAATTTATGAATTTCTATTTAAGTATTTGTTTTTTTTTTTTATTAAATATCTACTATAGTATATATCTCAAAGTTTTAATTTCAAAAATAAACACAGTTTTTAAAAGAGCTCAAAACAAAATCTTAAAATATATTATTATTTAAAATAATTCAAAACAATTACGTAAATAACTACGATCTTATCTAACCTAACGCAAAGTATTGAAATGTGCATAATAAATTTGTATTTAACAATTTTGCATTGTGTGTTATAGGGTTATTTTTTATAATAAAATAATTTTGTATGTATACTTATTGGTTAACAATCTCTACTATTTGTGTGCGTAAATTTTATTTTTTTAAATGTTATCATATATAAATCGAAAAAAAAAATTATTAAAAATGTCGTTAATTTTAATTTTTTATAAATGTTATAAAAGAATCGTAAAAATTATCATGCAGAGAAATTTTTTATATAAATATAATGATTAATATAGTTTATAGTTAAGCAGTTTTAAATTAAATTACCTAAAGTATAATTATAAAAAATTGTCTACTAAAAAATACCTTAAAATTACGTTTATCGTTACGTTCAGAATTTAATATGAATTACTTATAATAATATAAATAGTTTATAAAATATACTTAAACATAAAATCTGACATACCATCTTTGTTTAGAATTGTTTTTTGTAGGTATCTAATGATTTATCATCAAATTAAAATTTATCACACATCCATTACAGTGACCTACTCAATGACGAAGTGTACTCAAAAGCTATTTTACAGTAGAGTGATTATATCGATTTTTTTTTTGTCTGATGTCACTTTAAGATTCTTTAAACCGTCGATTATTTTTGATAGATTTTGATTAGGATAAAGTGGTATAAAGTTGACCACAGATTTATATCCGTCAGAAAAGCAAAGAACCTTATTCGCTGAAGACTGTACAAATGCATGCATGCCCCATACTGATAAAAACGGTTTGACGGACTTGATAGAAACTTGGAAAATCTAATTTTTCAGCTGTTGTTTATATTGTTTAGTATATGACTTGATTAGAGAGGAAGGGAAACATAATAACGAATCGTTGTTTTACTTGCATTGTATTCACCCTCTAGTGACTCGTATACTTGTTTAGTCGTTTTTGACTGATTAAATTTGCAGCGCATATTATTCGATATTTATCTAATATATTTAAATGATCTTTCAACAATTTCAAAGTATTTAAGGGAAAAAGTTGAAAATGGATTAAAAATTGCAATCATTTTACTTAAATCATTTAAAATAGCTGTTAACTTATTGAAAACCAATTAAAAATACATACCATAAATTAATTGTATGATGGGGTTATGGAATTTATTAATAATAAATTAAATAAAACCTAAGTAAATTACTGAACAAAAATATTTATTTTTTATAATTAATAAAATTTACAATAGCTATTTTATATAATATGACATAATACTCGTATGTTTAAAATGCATATTCGTATAATAATATAATACTTAACATTATAACGTGGGTTTTATATTATTATCTTCAAAAACTGTTAGTTTATAATATTATTGTCATTTAAAATAATGTTATTATAATATTATAATAATATTATAATATTATTGTCATTTAAAATAATGTTATAAAATAATTTTTACATTTCGGTTGCACAACTAATAACTCTTGGACTATCATCTTATAAATTTCTTCATCCGTTACCGTAATGACTGGCATTGACGAGTATATGTTATAGACGTCTTCATTATAAAATTCTACGTCAAAGGGTTATCTCTCGTTGGTGGGCAGTTATACATTATATAGTTTGCCACGGTGTTTAAGTCTTGTGATTGTTTGGACCATTGATGTGGAAGGTGTCTTGATCTTGATTTTACACGAAATCACTGTATTATCAGAAATTCCATTCCTTATGTATATCGGTTTTTGAAGTATGACCATCGATATAATTGCATATCACTTTGTGTTAAGTCGCACAATTCAGCTTGGTTCAAACCAACCAGATTGATCCTTAAACCTTTTTCTCAGGAATATTCAGCAGAGTGTAAAATTTTCCCAGCGGGTCAGCTAAATAATGGCTTTTCATGACGAGTTCTGATAATTGTTTTGATTTAATTGAAACCATTAAAGAATACGGAGTCTTGATCTCGGATTCAGACATCATACTATACTTGGCATTGAACTATAACTTATTTTTAATGGATCAGAGAAATCATTATAATTGCTACATCGAAATTAGTTGGGCCTTTTTGGCTCGATTGGAAATATTCAGATAGATGGGGTCTTGAACAAAGTTCCAGATATAAGTGAAATATTAGGCATTGAGGTGAATACGCCCGTCAGTAGATTAGCGTAAGCTATATTGAAATAGTTAAAAAATTCTATTAATTAATGATAGATAATACGTTAATATTTAATAATATATGTATATGACAGAGATAGATAACGTCAAGTAGTAGAAGCAGCGGAGGCCCTAAATAGGCTACAGAAGCTTAAAAAAGAAAATATATATGATGTACGTGTTATAACTTTTAGACTACAATAAATTATTCGTCATAACAATTTTAAGACAGTACATTGTGAGACAGCGATGAAATAGATGATAAAATAAATGTAAACACTGGTCTACTGTTTTTTGAGATAAATTTAAATTAAAATAAAAAATAAAAATTTGCCATAGATTGGACAACCGAGTAGATTATTTGACGTAAATGTATACATAATGTGGAAAGAAAATGGGTTAATTTACTTTAGATTGTAAAAATTGTTGTAGGATTTAATTATTAACCTACTTATATTTAATGAATATACTTAATAATTGCGTTTATAGGAAAAACATTTAAAACAAAGGGTAAGGTAGGTTGCAGTATTACTTCATAGTTGTCAAGTGTAACTCGTTATTAAGAAATAAGTCATCGTAATGTATATGTTGAATATTTATATTTGAATTCAAAGATAAATCGTTGTACACACACAAAAAAAAAAAAAAGATTCTGATGTAAGGCAATCTGTCAGCTTATATTACTAAGTATATTTTATGATAGATTTATATTGCTATTACAGTAATTTATTTTACTATTAGAATATAGGGAATATAGTAGATTGAATTAATTTTTACTGAAAATATTTCATTTAAAAATTATCACTGTATGTAAAAAATAATATAATAATATACTTTGAAAGTTTAGAGTATTTACGAATAATATTTTTAAAATACAACACAATAATCAAAATTATTATTCTTCGTTTAAACATATAATTTTGTCAACATTTGTATTTAAAAAGAAACTATATAAAAAAACTCATAAAAAAATATATAATTTTATCAACATTTGTATTTAAAAAGAAACTATATAAAAAAACTCTTCTTAAATATATTTTTGATTATATTATGAGCCAATTATGAAAAATCTTTTATTTAATTTTTAATCTTTAGCTATAAAATTAAATTTTCAAACTCATAATTATTAGTAAATGTTCAAAATTCTGATTAATTTTGTCAACATTAAATTTCAAATGCTTATAAATAATTACTTCGTGACTTTTAATTTTTAATATTTTTATTTAAAAGTAATTATTAGGCTATAAAAACAATTTATAAGAAATCTTGTATTAAATTTTTAAGCTTATCAACATTTATAGCAAACAATTTCAAATGTTTATAGCTCAAAAAGCGTTAAAATATTTAGGAAATCGTAGACAATGTAAATTTGTTAATTGTTTCAATCATTTAAGGGGTAGTTTTAAATTAGAATAAAATATTAAAATTGATTGAAAATAATCAGTTATTTTTATTGAACTTAAGCCCGGCAACTAGGGCCATTAGCTGTTTGTAAGGGTTACGTTGTAGGTTGGTACGGTAGGTTGTATTTTTTTTTTTTATGATTGTTACGGTTTATAGCAAACACGTGTATGTGTGGCAAGGTTTTTAACCACTATGATCCCGAGTGGTCACCCATCCGGGAGCTAGTAGCTGTGGCCGTTACTTACTCTCAGTCGCATTCCGCGACTGGTAGCAGCCAACGCGCCACGCCAAGCCACAATCAGTTATTTTATTGGTGAATATCTGATGTTTTGACAATTTAAACTTAAATAAAAGTCTTACAATAAACTAATATAATTTTTCGGTTATTCAAATCGTTGATATAAAAATATTATTTATAAATTTTTAACTACAAATAATTTCTAAAATTTTGTAATTTTGACGAATTTTGTCAAAATTTTAGTTTCAAATGTTTGTAAAAAATTTTGTTGGTATATTCTCTTTATATTTGATTGGTAACTGAACAACTTATGAAGAACTTTAAATACATTGTTTTTATCGTGTTCACCCGGCAATATTTTTTCTTTTTTCTTTTTTCTTTTGAAATTTTCTATTTTTTAAATCGTATAATTTTAATTTAGTATGATGTAAGATAAATATTAGTTTTATATAATAGAAATTTATAAAAAACATTCTCATTTACTACATACTCCTAGTATTTAATACAAAGATAATTAATGAAAAATCATTAATTATAAAGTATAATTGGTGTTATATAAATATTTAAAATTAATTTTAAAAATAATTTTATAAATTTCTAACATTTAATTTTTATTTTTCAGTTAAGTATAAAAAATTATCAAAATCTTTTACAGTCTAGACGGGGCAGAAATGTTTTAAATGCGTAGATAAAAAAGAATTCATGTGAGTGTATTGGAATGCGTGCTGTAAAATACTTATACTGTTGCAGAATTGCTATAAATGTTAATAGTATTGTATTTTCTGTTTCGATACGTATCAAACATTAAATGGATTTCTTGTAACCCAATACGAACTTAAGTATGACATGAGCCATTAAACAAACTTATAACATCTTATCAGTTATATAATTCAACTAATCGCGGATTGTATAGCAGCTGTTTTCATGAGATCTACAGTTAGCACCCGGCTGGCAGTTAGTGTTTTATACTTTTATTTTGTTGTTTCGTGTCTAACTACCAAATTTACTTGATGTATCCCTGTAAGTGATTTTGAGCATTAACTTTGTAGAGAAAACGTGGAAGATGGGTGTTAATGTAATGTACAAATTATTTGATTGCACTGTGCAGTCACTAAAAAAAACTATAGCTATTTAATTTTTTGAATGGTTATTTTAGTATTTAATTTTTGATGTTAATAAATAGTCAATGAAATTTCGCACTTAATTATAATTGGTAATATATTATAATATACACATTATATTTATAGCAAAATATTTTATAAATCATAGTTTTATTATATTTTAAATATTGATTATTATTGTTTTGATTTTTCTATGTTTACTTAATAATGTAGTTATCAATTACATTATTAATACTTAAATTTAATTTTTTTTTTCTAATCATTTATAACATTCTTGCAAAGCTTTATAGTATTTAATTGCGTAATATAAATAAAATAAAACTATATTTAATTTTGTACCTATTTTATGATAGTACTTATTTTTTTGAAATTGCTGTTCTTACTTAGTACTTACACAATATAATGTTCATAATATAGGTAGATTAATCATAATATTATTCCATTAATAAAATCTTAAATGTATATAAGAAAGTGTAAAACTAATGCCAAGCTATCAATGCTCGAAATGCGATAATAATTATTGAACGATAACAAAAATTATAATAAAAAATACAACTTGATATCATACTTATCATATATAACAATAATTATGTGATTTTAATATTAAAACATGTTATTTAATGAAATAAGTAAGAAAGTTATGCTGAATTTAAAATTGCAGGCTAGTTGAATGTTATGCTATTTTTTAATTTTTTTTTTTTTTTAACAACGGTATCACGACCGGGGGAGAAATTGCGTTAGTATTACTTCTTCTCTGAACAAAGAATGTTATGCTATTTATGTATATTTAATAATTAAACCTATTTCAATATGAGTATCTAAAAATTTTGTATATCATTAAATATTTTCTACTTTAATTTAACATTATAATTATTTTTCGTTAGTCAAAAAAATAATTAAGTATCATTATCAGAGAACCTAAAGCCCTGTTTCTGTTACAGGAGAGAAGTGATTCTTGTTCTTGGATGACACCACATCCCGTGCATGATTGGATCTATCAAGGGCCGGCGATAATAGTGCTGATAGTAAATTTAGTTTTCCTATCAAAAATAATGTGGGTATGTTGAATTTTGTTTTCATTCTTAAATTTTAGTAAAATATCTATAATATAAAGAAAAATAAAATAAAAAATATAAATAGGACTTAATTAATAAAACTTAAGTTTAAAAAGTGTGAAGTGGCAGAGAATAGTATTTAAAATTAAGGTAAATTTCTTGATTTATCTAAACTTTAAATGCTTATAAATAAATAACTATTAGTGAATTCATTTTTTTTTACTTAACAATATTACTTTTACTAGTAAATTTAATAAGTAAATAAATTAATAATATAAGATCATTAGTACATTATGTAGACGTAATAGGTATACATTATATATTGTCGTAACGTATTTAATTATTTGATTATTATAAATAGTTCATTAAATAATAAAGAATAAAGTAGACAATTTAAATTTTAGTATGTAAAGATATTTTTAGAATAAATAGCACAAATGAAATGAGTAATAACTTGTAAAACAAGTAGAATTTTACTGTTAAGATACTCATAGTTTATTTTGTTTCAAGCAACATATACGTATGTGTTTCTTAGTATTCGTGTGATCACGAAATTTCTGTTTAATTTTGTAAAATCTAAGTGTATGTTGTGAGAGAATTGGGAAGTAACGTATACGACAAAGTACACATAATTTTATACATAAATATAATATGAAAGTATATATAAACATACTATAAGCTATATAAGTGAATATATTAATTATCAATTTTTAAAGTTACATATTGAACTAATATTGAAATATTCAGCTTATTTTGATTATAAGTATATACATTAATTTATTATTTGAATACATTGAATGTTATTGTGGTATTATTTTTTTACTGGTTAATATATATAATATTTATATAATGAGTTAAAGAAATTTAATGTTTCTGCTGTTATTAAAACTAAAATAAAATACTTACTCGGTTTTTAATATAATCAGATATATAGTTATATCATGCCATATTTTGGTGGTAAATAAAATATTATATTTTAAATAAAAAGTTTTTTCTAATTATTTGTTAAATTTACTATTTATTTATATATCATTATTATTATTTAGTAAACTTAATATATTAAATTTGTAGGTATTAATAACAAAGCTAAGATCAGCGAATTCGGCTGAAACCCAACAATATCGCAAGGCCAGTAAAGCTTTGTTAGTTCTTATACCATTACTAGGTGTTACCTACATATTAACTATGGTCGGGCCTACGGAATCCGGTACTTACGCTAACTATTATTCTTATGGTAGAGCTACACTTTTGTCTATGCAGGTAAGCTTAAACATTTTGAATAAAATATTTTTGTTATTTTTAAACAAAAATCTGTCAGGTACCTCAGATTTTTGGGACCAAACCTGACTGATATTTAAACGATTCGTTTACTATTATATAATCTGAATAAGAGTATTTATAATAATGTAATGTATGTTTTATATTTGATAAATAACATAAAAAATAAATCTTGATTTATGAATTTATGCAATCTTATTATTTAAAATTATAAAATTATAAAATAATAAATACCTATTAAAAGAGAATATTTTAAAATTAACTAATTAAATCAACTATTAAAAAAATGTGTTTATTTTAGTCCTTGATATATTCATTGTGGTGTTGTATTATGCTTTAATGCCATTTCAAGTTAAAATTTTTGTGGTTCATTTTATTTGTGTACAGGGCTTTATGGTGGCAATATTTTACTGCTTTGTTAATTCTGAAGTGAAGAACACATTCAAACATCATTTCATTCGATGGAATGACGCGAGAAATCTGAGAACTGGTGGTAGCCGAAGATTTACTTATTCAAAGGATTGGTCACCGAACACAAGGTCCGATAGTGTCAGGTATGATTTTAATCTATTTGATGTTTTAATAAAAATTTATACTGAACCAATCATTCTTGTTTGTGAATGGTGATCAAATGTTTTTATAGGTGGTCAATGTCTAGAAGATTACCCTCTCAAGTATAATAATGATTTTTTTTTTTAGATATTTAACAAATTCGTAATAATTTATTACCAGTTATGCCTAAATAAAAATTGTTGTGGTTAAGTGTCTTGATTAAATAATTAATAATTAATGTATTTAAAACTGTGTAAAAGCTGTTGTATATTTCAATATAATTTTATTGTTTAGGTTATATATTATACACACAAATCAACACAATAAAACGTAATAAATAGTTGAATTATACAATAATACCTACTCCACTTGGAATTTTATTAATATCTGCTAAAATTATTGTTATTATTTTTTTATTTTATTAAATATACATTATACATATTTTATCATTATTCTCTATTTTTATAAATATTTTTTTTAAATTTGAGTTCATCTATATTAAATTATAGTAAGTATGTTAGTTTTCAATAATTTAAACTAAAACTAAATTAGAAGTATTGAAAAAATATAGTATGAAACATATTGAAAGTTACATATAAGTAGGTACTAAATAACTTAAAATTAAACTATTTTCTTGTTGTTTTAATTATTCAGGCAATTTTTGATAAAACGAGTTGGAAATTTAATTAAAAATTTTTTTTAGTTTATTTTTTACTAGAATAATTATGATTATTTACGATATTTGTGTTTATTTGGTTTGATGTAGTGTTAATATAAAAATTTCTATAAGAATGATAATAATTAAAATACATTTAACTATAAATTAATTAATTTTTATACTACGATAAACACAAAATTAAATCTTAATGATATCAAAATTTAGATTTTTAGTTCAATGAGAACGAAATAATGTAATGCAATTGCTTTTAAATTTTAAATGATGTGATTTATATATTCTTTGAAATGATGATATTATTTATAGCAAAAAAAAAAAATTCTTAAATCTCCAACTTTTTGGGTCTCAATATACTGTACATTTTGACAGGTCTGGGTAAAACGTATCTGGCCGACCGGAAAAACAAATCACATTAGTTCTAACTAAAGGTATCACACTAATATGTTTGACCTGTATCGGTCGATTTCTGTAGTTTATCGTGCAAAACAGAGTGGTTTCTGGAAGAATAGATAAAACTTTAAGAGGGGGTGGTCAAAAATAAAATTAGTAGTACTTTTAAATATATTAAAATAACAAACAATGAAAAATGGGAATATATTATACGCAACACTAAATTTTGATAATTCAATTTTTTTTTTTTTTTTTTTGGTTATTTAAAAATGAAATTTTCATCATAATATATTTATAATAGGATTTATTAAATTAAAAAAATAATTCAGCTCTTTTAGTGTAATATAAACATATAAGATATTTAACTATTGAAGATTTTTTTTTTTTGAACAATGTTGATAACTATTTTTTTTTCAAATTAAAAAGCTTAAAAATTTGATAAAAAATGCCTTTATAAGTTGTTTTTATAATAACTTAAAATATTTAAATTATAATAATATAAATAATATAATTAATTATAATTAATTATAGTTTTTTTTTATATAAACGTTTTATTTAATTATTTATTTTTGTTACAAAATAGCAAGGGTCAGTAACCAAAATATAAATAAAAATTTTAATAAATGAATTTATACATTTTTCTTGTATACAAGAATTTACAATTATTTTTAAATCAATGGTAATGTTTAATAATAAATAGTATATAGAAAATCAGTTTTGTGTCAACCACCGTTTCGTACACACGTTTTGTGTGATAGAGTTATTATTTCTATTACATTTTCAAGAGATATTTAAAACTACATAATTATGATTTGTAATATTGTTGTAACTTGTAAGTGAACTACAACCTATAGCTCTTATTTTTCTGATATAAAATAATGTATTTCATATTTTCGTTTGTAAATTAAGATGATATATTATAAGTATATTATATATATATATCAATAACAACACTTCGTGATATTTAAAAACTATTATTAGTTAGAAAAAAATTGTCTACAAATTTTTAAGAAATAAAGTTCTTAAAGTATAATATGTTACTAGTACAAATTTTTTAAAACCTTACTGGCACTTTTATTTTACATATTTATGTCATGGTTAATAAATGTAAAGTAGGTAATAACTAATAACTAATAAGTAAAAACAATAGCGGCTGATATTTTGAAATTATAAATTAAAACAAAACCTATCGTCATTGTTATCTTTATTGGTTTTTAAAGCTGCTGAGATGAAACTTAATTTGCTCTCACATATAATGGTTCTCTTTTGGAAGTGTTAAGTGCACTTCCGTCTTAGAGAATATTCGAATTTATGGCAAAGTCACGAAAATTTTAATGTCGTCAATGATTTTATTAATAGGTCTGTACCTAAATATAATTAAAATGTTCACTTACAAATTTATTTACTTTTACTGCTTTTAACTACAGATCGTCTTATAATCAGAATTCTTAATTGCAGTAATTCTTGAATATTTACCTTGAGAAAAATTATCTTTTTTTTTTACTCGGCAAACCAACGCCCATAAATTCAAGCTAATTATCGTTTATCATTTGAATTATTCTATCCTTATCGGTTATTGAAAATATTGAGCTTTTACTGAAATTGATTCCACTGTACTTAATGTTGGGAAGCTTCCAACATTAGTCACAGTCATTGTAGAAACATACGTGTACAAACTCAATAAATATAATGCATTGGAAAAATATTTCACAGTGGAGTGTGGAATGCTTTAAATTACACGAGTTACTAGAGAAATGCGCATTATGTTTAGACGTATATAACATCGATTATAAGATTTTCCATCAAAAAAATTATTGATTATAACAGCAAAAAACAATATGTTAAATACTTAATTATGATAATTTTATCACTTCAGAAATCCATTGAAACAAAATTCCGGTCTCATACTCAGTCCAAAATAAAATCACGCAGGGAAATAACCTAACACTTAACAGTATAAAAAACGTGATTTTTAATTTCAAAAAAATAGTCTAGAGATATGAAAGTTAATGGCCGTTGTCATAACTATTCCCGTGGGTAAAAGCCGACAGGCGACACCTGATCGGTAGTTCTCTTATACTACCGAAACGATGTGAGAAAGCATTTGCAAGTAAGTAATTGCACTTGACTTGTATCGTGAGCTTATATTTCTGCTTCTTCTTCAACCTCATGATTTTAATGCTTACATTATTAATGGTAGAATATGTGTAGACTCAGTAGCTAATTGTGTCTTTCTAACTTAAGAAAAACTGATAGACAATAGAACTATCAGATGTCGGAACTATCTCATTTACTTTTTCAGCCTAGTGAAAAAAAATGTTCAGATGTTCAGTAGCCATTCAATCAGTGAAGTAGGTAGTTTTATCATGGGATTCGTGGTTTTACTTCACTTTAACATAGGTTAGTATTGCCACCTATGTTAGATATATTGTATATGTGATATTTTTGGAAAAAATTAGTTCGACGTTCGACCTACCAAATCAACAAAATATTACTATTAATGTTTATGTCATATGATATAAACAATCTTTAAAAATAACTGCTGATCCATCATTTATATCATTTGCTCAGAATTATTTTTCTTGTATCACAATTTATCATAAATTCAAACTTAAATTTAACATGCCATTATCTATTATAGCAGTAATCTTCAACCTTATTGGACTTGAGGCCGATTTAATTCAGCTTATTTATTACGACTTAATCGTTACGAAAAAAAAAAGTTGATTGAAATGTACTACTTTATATAATAAGTAAAAATGAACTATTTTTAATTAATTTGCTATTATTATTTTCATTTTATTTTTTTCATGTAATTAAATTAAATATATTTACAGTAAAGTTATATTTTATTATTTAATAGTAATATACCACGACCCAATTCGAAAATTCGTGTGAGCTAATATTAAGTTATAATACATCGGTTGAAAATGATAGTATTATGGCAGTGAATTATTTAATGACAAGGTACATTCGAAACCTATTATAGAGAAATGTAAGTTCACCGTTTTTATTTTATACTTTAAATGAGATATTTCGAAATAGTGTCACTAGATGTTCCTATTACTTCATGTCACTAAAAAAAACGTTCTATTACATTTTTTTACAACTCTTTTACTTATTTTGTAATATTACAAAACTAAGATTATACATTTTTATATTTTACTAAAATAAAAACAAGTACCAATCGTTGTAATCTGTTAAAAACTCATATTAATACGGATGAATTAAAATTAAGTTTGAAATTTAAAATAAAATATTACCTAACTTATTTAATGACAAGGAATACTTAAAAACTACTACATAGCAGAAACGAGTACGAGTTTTTTTTTTGCATTTTAACAAAATCAAAATTATAATACCACGGCGTTATGAATAGGCAATTCAGCTACATCGGTATAGTGACTACACTTTTCTGGTATTTCAAAATAAATAATTGTGACTCTATAATGATGAAAATCTGATATAGAGGATTTGAGAACGAACGACTAACCATTTGGCATCTGTGTACTTGACTTTACTGACTTAAATAGCTCTATTCAAACAAATTCAAACAAATATCGTCCATTCGTAATTAGATATACCAAACCTAGTAAACCAGCGTTGATCAACAGTTTCAATCATATCCCTAACTTATTTTACACTATTTGTATGTGTCATTGAAATATCTCACGTTAAAAGTATCTTCTGTGTAAAATAATCCTCATTAAAATTATAGCTTTTATAATAAAATCTTATTTTTAATCATAACAAATAACTAATAAGTCAAATAAAATACGTTCCTAATAAAGTATTTTTAATAATAAAATATGATAAAAGCTGTAATCATATAGATTTTAATTTAAATTAAGAGACAATACGGTTAATTTAATTAACCGGAAACAGCAGACGTATGACATAATTTAATTGGCAATAAAATGCAATGAAAATGTATCT